CTTTCCACTTGGCCATTAAAAAAGCCACATTCTACACCTGTTTTACTAATGAATGCAAAATGTACAGAATATGATGATTAAAAAAAAAAAACCCAACTTAGAACTGAACTGACCTTCATAACTTCCAGTGACTTACTCAGTGACACATCCATATCTTTCTTGCCTTGCTTATATCCCTCTTCTCGCCCCTCATTTAGACCTTTCCTGTAGCCTTCCTCATAAGCCAGTTTGCTTGTCTGAGATTAAATACACATTTGAAATTTCAAATCACTTAAAATTTGAAAGGAATGAAAACAAGAAAGATCAATGCAGACATGTGTACAACCAGGAATTACAGCAGCAGTTAACATACATATGACTAAAAATAAAAACATTAACCAGTTAAGTATGTATCCTTCACAGGATGTTGCCGAACCAACACCAGCCTTGTTTTGCTATTTACCAGACAATTTTACATTCAGCAGTTTGGCATTGCTTTCTGAATGGTTAGCGCTCCATTCCACTGCTAAGTATGTATGTATGTAAGTTGTACCCCACTTGTACATCACACAAGTGATAAACACCCAATGACACAAAGTACCACCATGGGGATGAGGATCACACATGGAGAGGTCCTGGAAACCGGGTTCAGCTGTTGGGCCATATTTCAGGCCCAGCTATAGTTAGGACCCCGGGCAAAAGCCAGGGTGGGGCTTCAAATAACCAAACATTGTATCCCACAGGGGGACAACTGATCATCATTAATGGTCAGATCTTTTAGGATGTCAGTATTCCTGTTCTTCTTGGTCTCTGGTATTCTGGTAATCTCTCTATAGCATTTCAGTTTAGCGAGACAGTCGATGACTCATATCCATATGTTGTTACAGGAAGATAAATGCCCTTGATTTCCTTGCTGGTGTTAACCATAGACATTTAATACTGCTTATATTTGCATTGCTAGGGTCATTTTTCTTTTGACTTGTGTTGAATAGTCTGCATTGCTATTTATTAAATTAACATTTACTTTCTAAAAAAGTGATGAACTTACATATTTTTGGAATAATTATTACTTCACCCACTGGGTATCTGCAATGAAATGTCAGGAGACTGAAAGAGTTAATGAATACATGTCCAACAAAACTGTCCACATAATTCTAACCTGTGCCAGTCCTTCTTTCTGCCCTTGAACAAGTCCTTCCATTCTTCCCTGGCTCTCTGCCTCTTCTCTGACTGCCTTCAACCGAACTTCTATGTCTTCATGTTCTGCATTCATCTGCTGGTAATTGTGAAAGAGTTTCTTCTTCATTTCTTCAATTATTGTCTCCATTTCTTTCTTTTCTGTCATCAAGACTCTTACAGTTTCCTGTTTGAAAAAACAATATGCGTATATGTTGTGGGTATGTGTAAAATCTATACATTCTAAGATAAATGGTAATGCTTTGATAAAGAAATAATTCTTACACTTTATAATAATATTTATTATTCAACAGAAATATCTTTCCATAGTGCTCAAACATTTATAACAGAATGCATTATTTTCTATACACAACATATACATAACTTTTTTGAATACTCTCTCTCTCTCTCTCTCTCTCTCTCTCTCTCTCTCTCTATATATATATATATATATATATATATATATATATATATATATATATATATATATATATATATATATATATATATTCATCAGTTTCCGGAGATATTTCCTTTCAATGCTGTTGATCTTCAGTAGTCCATGAACCTAATACAAAGTGGTTATTTTAATTCAGTACTTTGCTCTGTTGTTATGCATAGTGCAGCTATGCATAAGTGTAGGACCTATTTGGTAAAATACCTGTCTGCTCAACCCTTAGCTGCTTATCAATGGCATCTCTTAATCCTTCCAGAATATCATTACATTTTGCCAGGAACTGACAGTATTATAATATTCTATAATTGTTACATTCCTGCAGGTCATCACCCTTTGGTAGTTTACTAGCTATCCTCCCCAAACTGCTGGTATTTCTTCAAATTTCCATTCTTTACTTAATAATTTGAGTAGCAGTTCCGTGGGTTTTATATTGGCCTCAATAATTTTTGCTGGGATATCATCTGGACCTGTGTCTTTCCCTTCCTTCGGGAGTTGATAAGTATCTAATTTCTTTTTGAGGGGTACCTCCTGCTGATATCGAGCATCACTTCTGCAGGCTGAGTATCTAGAGGGTCTTTTGGAGCTGGTCTACTCAAACATTTTCAAAGTATTTAGCCCATATGTCCATTTGATCTTTAGTGTTGGTGAGAACTTTCCCATGAATATTTTTGATTGATCCGCTAGGCTGATTATACTTTTCTATTAATTTCTGTGTGGTGCAGTAAAGATTTCTAAGACTACCTTTTGTTGCTGCTGTCTCTGCTACTTCTGCAAGGTCATCTAAATATTTTCCTTTGTTCGCATTATTCACCTTCTAACATTCTTATAAGCTTCAGCATATTTTTCAGCAGCTGTACATTTAGTATCTCTAGTTTTGCTAACGTTTGTGTCTGCTTTTTTGCTTTTCCTGTTTCAGTTTTGTTAAGGTGTTCCAGCAATATCCATGCCTTATGTTTCATTCCATTTGACAAGGACTACACAAGATTCATTCGAAATTAGTCTAACCTGTTACCAGTCTTCAGTTCTTAAACCGTCAGCTAATTGTAGCAGTTTTTCAAACTACACAAGATTCATTCGAAATTAGTCTAACCTGTTGCCAAAGTCTTCAGTTCTTAAACCGTCAGCTAATTGTTGCACCTTTTCGACTGGATAGGGCAACAAAATAACCATTTGTTCTCAACTATTTAGGCATATTCATTCAAAGTCTCACTATCTTGACTTGCTATAAGACTAGAGCTTTCAGTGTAACAGAAAATAGAAATCAGTATTAAAAAATGTTACCTTTAAGGAGTCTATCTCTAAACTTTTCTTCTTCTCTCTGCTGAGATGCTTGTCTGCTTCTGTAAGCTTTTCCTCAAGCTGAATCTTGTGGTCTTCGAGCTCTCTTTTCTCAGACTCAAAACTGTCTGTGATTCTTTCTAGCTCAACAAGAAGCTCTGTCTGATCAGATAAGTATCATACAGTGAAAACATTACTGCCATAAAAAATAAAGGTAAAATAAAGGATGAATGATGTGGTCAGCATCGTGCCAGCCACTTTTACTTCCCATGACTTTACTTGGTCCTCATTTAAGGCTGGGTCAATCAGGGAGCCAAGGTCATGCTGAAAAAAAAATCTGCACCATACGGACTTGAGCCCATGACCTTCAGATCCACTGATGTGTATCTAGCCGCTACGCAACAGCAACACCCATTGCCATAAATCTTTTAAAATGATGTTTCCCAATTGTAAATTTGAAAAAATAATTTGTTGAAATAACTTATTCAGACAGGTAGTTAGTACGGTTCCAACTTCATGGCAAATAGTTTACTCCATAATTGCTACGTTCCTGCACCAGTGAAAATCACACAGAAAGCCCATCGCTGTCCTTCATGGAAAAATTAAAACAAATGGTAATCTTGGTAAATCCAACAGCATTATGTGCATAAGGCAGCCATCAGAAGTACAAACAGTTACAAGAATTGCAGTTCCTCATTGATGGAAGCTGTAGTGACAACAATTCAGCAGTTGCACGTGCAACATTGCATAAGACACCACTAAATCTTTGGTAACAGGTCACTTGTTATTTTTTTAATCTACAGTTTACAACACAAACCACCTTGGACACAGGTGAAAAGCATTTGAAATGAAAAGCACAGCTCATAGAGTTGCACCATGCACCCAACTCATTAGCTGGGTGATGGAACTATATACTTTCAGTCCACATATGGGAGAAATGCAACACCTAACCATGGCAAGAAGCAAATAACTTGTCACATCTAAAACTGGATTGTAAATGAAATAACACAAATCTTTCAGTACACGAAACTCACACAACCTTCACTTGTCTCTTTTTATACTGTTAAATTTCTTGACCGTTCTGGCCTATTCTTCAGTTTAGTTTACTCCTTCTATCTTAAATGCCCCTGTAATTCCTTCTGCCCCACACCCCCAATTTTTTTTTCTCAAAAATCTGTAACACTAAAAAAAACTAGGATAGACTGTATTGAAGTAACAATTGCTTAAGACGGAAAGAAATAATTTAATTTTAATGTACTTGTCTCTGTGTTGCTTGTTACTTTTGCTTGCTAAAAATACTTGTCAAATGGATGTTATTTATAATTTAAAAAAAAAAAAAAGATAATCATTATTACTCAAAGATGCAAACAGCAGAGAGTAGAAGTTGAAAAGCAACAGTGAAATTCGTGTTCAAATCACCACTGATTACTGGCATCATGAGAACTAATAGACTGCAATGGTTAAGGCAAACAGAGAGAATGACAGGTAAAAGAAAGACATAAGCCTTTGAATAGGAGTATACCACAGGCAGACCAAAATGATGGTGGAGAGACTAACAGGCAGACTTAAACACTTTGAATAACAAACTGAAAAGAGAAGGCAGATCATAGAGATGAATGGAGGCAGACAATAAATACAGCAGTGAGTGTCAAAGATTTGAAATACTGAAGAAGAAAAAGAAAATAAGAATCCTCATTATGGGAGATAGCACTGGATGATATTTCATGGAAACAAAAACTATCAAATACAGAGGTACTGAGGAAATTGGGAATGAAAAGAGAGTTGCTAGGTGAAATAAAAAAAGAGACAAGTGAAATATTTTGGCCACATTAAAAGACATAACAGTATTGTAAAGATCATCCTAGAGGGAAAGGTTCAAGGTAGGCGAGCAAAAGGCAGACAGCGTTACAAGTGGGAGGATAACATCAAGAGATAGACAAACAGCAGTATGAGTGAGTGTACATCAAGGGCAAGAGACAGGGCTTGTTGGAGATCCATTGCAGCCAACCTTCATTGTGGAGACGGCACCTGATTGATTGATTGACTGGATGATAAGATTAGGCAAATACAATGAATGAACACTTTTTAATAAAGATCTCTATATCCTTACCTCCATTGACTTTCTCAAAGTCTCCAGAGCATTTTCTGATGCTATACTGTCTTTAGCATATTTCAAAGACATCTCACATATCATTTGTTTCTCAGCTTCTAATTTTGACAGAGTTTCATTCAGTTCTGTTTTCAGTGATGCTATCTGCTTTTCATATTTTGCTACCAAAGTTTCTCGTTCACTGTCAGCTTTTTCATCTGAAATATATTCCAGGGTTGAGATGGGGCAGTGAGATAATTAACTGACTTAGTCATATTTTAGGAATATCATAGGAATGTTTATGTAAAACAAACATTTGTATTTCCTTCTTCTTTCACTAATATGATCTCTGTGTTTCTAAACATTGTACTTTGAGAGATGATAGGTAGTTGAGCTAGGGCATGCTTGGTAATTTGGTATGCAGGATATTGTGACTCCTTAATCCATCTTCTTCTTGCTCTTCCTCTGCTTTTTGATGTTTTCATTTTCATTTTGTATGTTCTTGCTGCTGGCATCGTTGAATTCATTATCATTAGGTGGCCAAACCAATTCAGTCTTTGTTTCTCAATTAAATGAATAATAGGTATTGTTAAAATAATTCTAATCTCTTTATTTGATCTCTTCTCATTGGTTTTGTTCACAGCCTTCCTCAAACATCTCATTTCACAGGTGGTTAATTTTCTCTCATGTTCTTTGGTTAATGTCTAAATCTGACACTGGTTATCTAAAACTGGAATAAAAATTACATTTATGATTTGTCTTTTCACCTCTGTTGAATAGCCAGGAACTGCAAGTTTATGATAAGGAGATTTTTAACAATAGTTTCTTTTCTTTCCTTATCTCTACTGTTTTTCTTTAGAATTCAAGAGTATATTCTGATGCTTTCAATTAGCATACACATTTTGTTTCCTGTTGATTTATAGCTGACCCCAACTAAAACTAATGGACATTTAACTCATTCACAACCAATCAAAGTAACTTTGTTACTGGTATAAAGTAAACGGGAGTTACGAGACATAATAGGGCTAGAAAATAAGGACAGTGCAGAATGTTAATTAGATAGTAATAATCATAAAATTAAACTATGATAATTAATTAGCAATAGACAGGTAAGGTCAACAACAGATAACTTATGTGAACATTTAACAAAAGATGGCGGCAAACGTGAATTAGAAATCTAAACAAGAATAGGAATAGCCACAAATATTATTCACAGGAGAGAAATATTACCATCTGGAGCAGTGGTTCTCAGCCTTCCTAATGCAGCGACCCTTTAATACAGTTCCTCATGTTGTGGCGACCCTTTAATACAGTTTTTCATGTTTTGGCGACTCTTTAATACAGTTCCTCATGTTGTGGCGACCCTTTAATACAGTTCCTCATGTTGTGGCGACCCTTTAATACAGTTTCTCATGTTTTGGCGACTCTTTAATACAGTTTCTCATGTTGTGGCGACCCTTTAATACAGTTTCTCATGTTGTGGCGACCCTTTAATACAGTTTCTCATGTTGTGGCAACCCTTTAATACAGTTTCTCATGTTGTGGCGACCCTTTAATACAGTTTCTCATGTTGTGGCGACCCTTTAATACAGTTTCTCATGTTGTGGCGACCCTTTAATACAGGTCCTCATGTTGTGGTGACCCCTAACCATAAAATTGTTTTCATTGCTACTTCATAACTTCATTGAATATGTGTTTTCCTATGGTCTTAGGCAACCTCTGTGAAAAGGTTGTTCAACCCCCAAAGGGGCCATGACCCAAAGGTTGAGAACCGCTGGTCTAGAGACAAACAACACACCAAAAATGAGAATTGTCAAATGTTATGCATAATCAAATATCCTATATGGCACAGCAAAATGAATAAGAATTTGAAAATCAAAAGATATACGGAAGAATAAGCCATATTTCATCAAAATAAATATTGACAAATGCAGAGGTTTCATAGAGATAAAATGAAAGTAAAGTGGTTTAAAGCAAAACATTGAAATATTTTGGCCACATTAAAAGATGTAAAACTTGAAAAAAAAAAACAACCCACTGGAAGGAAAAGCTGATTATAGCTGAACAATATGTGGGCGTGATACAAGTAGGAGACTATCATCAAAAGATGAGCTCAGGTAAGTCTGAGAGAATCTAAATCCAGGTTATAGGGCTGAGAGCATTGGAGATATATTGCAGACAACTTTCATCATGCACATGGCACCCGATTAGTTGACAATGCAAAAACAACAGATATTCATTGGTTAATTAACAATCTTTTCTCCAGGCAAGGCCGGTGTAGTGAGTAATGAACAGGCAGACAGATTGGCTGGATCTGCACCACTGGGTGGTGAATTGATGAATGACAAGGCAAATGTGGTCAAAGCCCTTTGGGAACAAGCAAAGGAATCAGTAGAGAAACAAGATTATTATGGCCTGGAGAGAATGAGGCACCTAGGTGTAACCAGAGGGTCTGGCCAGCTTACTACACTCAGAGGAAAGACAAGATGGACATATAACTAGATTGTGACCGCTACCATCAGTATTGGAACTCTGCATTGGTTGCTGAAGATGAGGATGGAGCACACATGGAAATGCACCGAGTGCTGTGATGTCAATTGTTGAATCAACTCAACTGGTTAATTAACATCATCATTATTATCACAATGTGCTTTGTTAGACAGAGCAGTCTCTCAATCAATTATGTTCTGTATTATTTATATTAATGATCCGCCTCTGTGCCACTCCCTTAGACCATAAAGCATAATTATCTTAGTTTGCCTCTTATACTACTGATCTTTCCCATCATTACAATGCTTTCATGATTACTTTTTGCTAGATACAGTTTTCTTTGTTTCTTTTGACTCTGACAATTGTTATGATTACTTATTTATTGCAGTTCCAGCTTCATGGCAAATGGATTATCTCATAGCTGCTCCATTCCTGTGCTAGTGAAAAGCATACTGAATGCCCATCACTGTCCTTTGTGAAGAAATTAAAATAGGCAACAGCCCCGACACAATCCATAGCACACACACTAAATGCATAAGGCGGCCATCAATGCAAACTGTCACAAGAATTGCAAAGTTCATATAATGGAGAAACTATCCCTTAATCACTCAACCACAATGTATTAACCTAGTCCCATTTTTTTACTGCTGCTATTGAATAGGTTATAATCAACCATTTGATGGAACAGGAAGTTTGAGGATTAAAAAAAAGAAAAAGGAATGAAACTAAGAAGAAGAAGAAGAAGAGGAGAAAGAAGTTGATAATGAAAGAGGAGATAAGGAAGATACTAAAGAAAGAAACAGAGGAGAATGTGAAGTGCAGACTTTGAAATAATCTTTTAACTTTGTGTGAAAACTAACATTTTATAAGATACGTAATTGATTACTTATAAATAGTGACTGATTTAAATTAGACAAACATGCAAAAAGTAATATGATAATGAAGTAATATGATAATATGTACAGATAATTCAGACCTACAAATGTGACATTTCTCTTCTTCAAATGCAGTGGCCATATCCTTTCGATCCTTCTGTAGCTGATTTAGTAAGACAGCTTGAGACTGCCTCACTTCTCTGTCAGTATGTTCTTTAACAAGCATGAAAAAATCCTCTTTCAGTTTGCCTGAGAGACCTTCGATTCCCTGTGAAAGTGCATATCAAGACTATCAAGATATATATATATACACACACATAATATACACTCACATACATACAACCATATATATGTATGAATGTAATGTGTGTGTATGTCTGTGTGTATATATATATCATCATCATCATCATGTAGCAGGTCCTTTGCAGAACATCGCTTTCATCACGATCTGCCTGAAAGAAACTCGGTCTCTCGCCAGCTCTCCCGCCTCATGTACTTTCATATTCAAGGAGTCACTTATATCCTGTGCCCATCTTCGTGTTGGTCGGCCTCTGCCCCTCCTTCCTGGCACTATGCCTTCTGCTATAATTTTTTCCAATCTGTCGTGGCGCTTGATATGACCAAATTATTTCAGCTGTCGAGACAGGATGCTGTTTATTAGCCAATCTTCCTTGATGTTCAGATCTTTCAAGATGTCAGTTTTTCTCCTCTTCTTTGTTCAAGATATTCTGAGAATCTTTCTATAATATATATATATATATATACACCTTTACAAACATAATATGTTTTTGTAACAACTCTATGCCTAACAGCTTTATTGTTAAAGTCAGGAAGATAGCCTCCATTTTCCTGGGTTATCCAATATGGCTCGATCTCTCATTTATGTTTCAATTACACATTTATTAAAATAGATACATTCATTTGATTTTTGTATATCAGATTTTCTGTACACATGAGTAAACTCAGTCACGGGGTGTTTCTCCTAAATCCTATGAAATATACCTGAAGCGAGTCACGGTGGATCTAGTGAAGACTCCTGATATAAAGATGAAGTGAACATGTAACTCTAGGTAAAGTCCAGTCACATGAGATAATCTTAAGCTAAGTCTAAAGTTTAAGTTTAATTTGTTGGAATCTTTTCTATGGTGTGGAATATTTTCTGTTCCAAGCGCCAAACAGTTTTGTGGTCAGTCTTCCTTTGTGAGTTAACTACGGCCTTGTTGCCACTGAGATAATGAGATATTTTTTAATCTTAACTCTTTGAGTCCCAAGAAAAACATCATACGTTCACAGGTTTCTACTTAGAAGCCCAATGAACGTATGATGCACCAATTTTATGTCTCTCTTTACTACCCCTTGGGCCTGTGACGCTAAACACTCTGGGACGGAAAGAGTTAAGTCAGTATGCAGTTATTGTGCTTATTCAGACAAGTAGATTGCTTCTGACATCAACAGCAAGGTCAAAAAATGCACTTCTGACACCAATTTATGAGTATATAGGTGACCACAATGAGGCTTAGGCATCGGTTTGCTTGTCTGCACTAGAGGCTGTGTTATGAAATTGTGGGTATTTTGAAAGCAGCACTACTTTGTCTCCCCAGCGAGAGCAGTCTAATAAATAATGACATGGGTGTGCTGAGCTTACGCTCTTAACTGCCATTTTGTTGTGCTATGACAATGTGCAGATTTATTTATACATCCTCACTATGTGTGCCAGTGTGTACAAATTTTGATGTCACTGTTTCAGCTATGTTTGGGGCGCTCCTTGGATGAATTTATGTGGCTCATATGCGAAGAACTTTAAATTACTTGAATTAATGGACAGAGTGAAGTGTGTAACTGCTGAGCTGACTTTACTGCCGAGTGGCTCTATGCTGCTTCCATGAAACGTCTCCTATCTTTCTCAGAGTAGAGACAATCATTCAGCTTTACAACACCCTCTCAACATCACAGCTAGCTAAGTAGAGGATGGCATAAAGCGAAGCCTCTATAACTCCATTGATTGTCCCTAGGAGTCTTACCAATCACAGTCTTGAATGCGCAATAAATCTGTAAAATAAACCAACGACCTTCAGAGCATTATCAGACCTTTCCCAGTGTCATCAAATTCGCTGCTAACTGATTTGAGCAATCATGCCTCTACAACAGTTTATTTCCAACAGCATGTATCAGTTTATGTCCTGACACCCCTTCATGTCATGGCAAATGCTGTCAAGAATCTTTTCAAACTGTCTTCCTGTGTCTCTTTCTTCACTAATCTCTATCTTTCTCTCTCTCTCACATACACACACATTTATCTACCCAACCCACCCAAATTGGTCACCAGGTCACCCATTGGCTCACCGGTAGATGACTTCGTCACTGGTGGGGCATTATTTGGGTCTGTCTCCTTTGATCGCATCAACACTGTGAGAGTTCTTTTCAGAGCTACTGGGGATATGCTTTGCTAAGCCATTTTGTATGGCACCTAACCTTGACACAATTATAACCTAAGCTCTACCTTTGGAGATGCTGGTTAAACGTATTTTTTTTTCCCAACAAAGCACCACCACTCAACTCATTCCACTCACTCAACTCATTCCACTCACTCAACTCACTCAACTCATTCCACTCACTCAACTCATTCCACTCACTCAACTCATTCCACTCACTCAACTCACTCAACTCATTCCACTCACTCAACTCATTCCACTCACTCAACTCATTCCACTCACTCAACTCATTCCACTCACTCAACTCATTCCACTCACTCAACTCATTCCACTCACTCAACTCATTCCACTCACTCAACTCACTCAACCCATTCCACTCATTCAACTCACTCAACTCATTCCACTCACTCAACTCACTCAACTCATTCCACTCACTCAACTCATTCCACTCACTCAACTCATTCCACTCACTCAACTCATTCCACTCACTCAACTCATTCCACTCACTCACCTAACTCACTCGTCTCAATGCCCTCACTCACCTCACCTTCACCTCACTCTCATCTCACTTCATTCTCACCTCTCTCTCTCCCGCACGTGCACTCCCATCCACTCATGCACACGTATGCACACATGCACGCACACACACACACCCTCTCTACCCAACAGCCCCAACCCCCAACCAAAGAAATAAATAAAAATTACATTACTTCTACTTACTGTCTCGAACAAACTATTTAGTTTTTGTTGACTATTAATCTCCTGTAATTTACATTGTTCTTCTAGTTGTTTTCTTTCCTGTTCAAACTCACGTCTCAAGGCAATTTCTTGCTGCTGCAGCTGAACTTTACAGTCAGACTTTTGTCTGTTTTCAAGTTGTTGTATGTCCTCCTTACACTTTGCAACCTGAGTCTCCAGATGTTGAACTGACTGCTTCAAACACTCGTTGTCTTCAGTGTGGGATTGTGCTTGCAACAATCTTAGGAATGTTTGAAATCATAATTAGTTCACCTTGTGAAAATTATATTTATATATAAACAAAAAAGAAAGTATGAGAGTTATTACCTCTCTCTCCCTTTCTCTCTCGAGCTATAGTTCCATAACAATGAGTATCACTAGGTCCTTAAGTTATTGTTCTATTTTTTATTTGATCCACTAATTCTAAATCAATCCAGCTTAAAGTGAGCATTAGAAAATTTTCTGGAAAGTAAAGACGGCATAGTACTGATTGGTCATGTCTAGGTGTCATTTATAAAAAAAAAAAAAAAACGTTTTGTTTAAATATATTGTTTGATATATTTTCTGGGGAGTTTTTTGCTATTAAAATAAAAACTGAGACAAAAAAAAAAAAAGATTGTTAATAAACTAAAGTACAGCAAACAAATAGTTTCTCTGGAATATGACTAGGAAGCTAAGATAAAAAAAAAAAAACAACAACAAAGGGGGAGGGAACATGCATTAAATAATAACTACTGACTATTTCAACTGCTGAAGTCTTTATCAAGAAGGACAGGAATCATAGGAACCAGCCCTAACATGTGAAAGTCATGTAATTATACTGGACTACAAATATAGGAATAGACAGAAACGTTGGGAAACAAAACATATAAATGAACACAAATAGTAATAATACTAATAATAATAATAATAGCTTGTCTGCAGTCACCTCTATTTTCATACATAACTAAAGCACGGCACACATTTTAATATAATAACTACATCAGAATATAAAATATAGGAATATAAATTGTGAGATAAAAAATAAATAAGGGAAAAAAATTAATAATAATACTAACATTAATAATAACAAGAAGAAGAGAAAAAAGAAGATAATTCCACAGCAGTCACCCACATTTTCACCACTACAGGACAGCAAGTATTTTTATAATAACCTAATAAATATGCTTTCAAATGTTACCTCTTTTGTAGAGTAGCAATCTCTTGCTGGTACTGATGGTACATGTAGCTTTTTTCACCCTCATGTTTCTGAACAAGGTCATATTTCTCTTGGGCAAATGCGGTCTGTAAATCTCTTTGCTGTTCTGCCAGAATTATTGCCTCCACATGTTTCTGTTCACTTATTAAGCATTTCTAATAGGAAGAATCATAAAAATCTGTATTCATATACAGTTCCCAGTTGTATTACTGATGACATAAAAATGTAGTTGAAGTCAAGTCTACTAGGTCTTCAGAATGCTTAATCTTTGTTCAGATCATTTATGAATGAATGCTGACAGAAGTCACATGGTTTTTAAGAGCGGATCTGGCAAGAAGGGGATACATGAGAGGAAGAGAATGATATGTGTATGCTACAGGAAAAGTTAGTATCTACATCTTAAGACATTTGCTGTGAGAGATAGAGTATCTAGGGCTTTGCCTTATGTGCCATTTTGTTGATTCTTAAATCAGTAAACAGTCTACTATGGGGTCATGACTGTTGTAGGGATTACTGTATTGTTATGACAGTGAGCCTACAAACAGAGATTGAGACTTGAACCCTCAGGTAAAAAAAATATATAAAGAATCTAAAACAACTGAAGAAGAAGAAGAAGAAGAGACAGATAGATAGATAGATAGATAGATAGATAGATAGATAGATAGATAGATAGATAGATAGATAGATAGATAGATAGATAGATAGATAGATAGATAGATAGATAGATGGATGGATGGATGGATGGATGGATGGATGAATGGATGGATGAATGGATGGATGGATAGAGAGAGAGAGAGAGAGAGAGAGAGATGGATAATTCAGGGAAGGGATAGAAGGAGTTGCAGTAAACAGTAGAGGATATGAGGGCTTGACATGTTTTATTTGAAGATTTGTGCTCCACTGGGAGATAACAGAGAAAAAGAACAGGAGGAGGATGGGGAGGATGAGGCAAAATAACAATAATAATAATAATAAAAATAATAATAGGAGCAGGCAGAGGAGGAGAATACAGAAAAAAGAAGAAGAAGAAGGAAAAGAAAAAGAAACTGTTTTATACCTTGTCTTGCTCAAAGTTTTCCAGCATTGTCTTGTTTTCCACAAAGTGCTTTTCTTCCAGAGCTGCCACTGCCTGTCTGTAGGCCTGCTCAATCTTTGTCAACTCCCTGTCTATCAAACTTTCAATCTCTGACTGATTCAGTTCTGTACTTAGATTTATGTGTCTCCTGTCTATGGGTGTAACAATTATTAAAATCAATGCTTTGAAATATAAACCTGCTCACACATCGCTAAATCACACTGGCAATGTTAACAATAGAAAAGGACCATGTTTACACTATTTTCAACTGGTATTTAATGCTAGATTCAAAATTTTTCTTTTGTAGAAAAGTCGGCACCAAGATAAATGATGTGGTCAAAATGGTGCTAGCCACCTTTGTATCTCACGATACTGCCTGGTACCCAGTTGTGGTTGGGTTGACATGGAAGCCAGGAACTTCGTTTTCCAAAACCACACAGTGTAGATTCTTCTTCTTCTTCATTTTCTTCTGCTTTTGATCAGAGCTAACCTGCTGTAAACTCTGGCGACAAGTTTTGGTTGTTCACACAATTCCAGACTTTTGATTTAGAACTCGAGTTTTGTGTTCACACCTGTTTTACAGATCTGGCTTATTTCTATACAGAGTGTTGATTCCTTGCCTTTCAGGCAGATGCAGTCAGACTTCAAAGGAAACACCACTAATTTTACATCATGCTTGATACAAGGCAGTGGGTCTATTCTTCTGCCCAACATGGTGAAGTGTGGCAATAATTTAGCTCACCACCATGCAACTGAAGCTTCAACTGCTGTGTGAAAGATGAGTGTTTGGAGGGCTGAATGAGTGCTCAATTTGTAAGCATTTGAGAGAGAGAAAAAAAAAGGCTTCTTCCTTCCTTGCCAGTTAACTCTAAAAACATTCTGCAAAAAGTTTGGTATCCATTTTCTTGTGGCTGGGCCAACCCCAGAGTCTTACTTTGTTGGAAACAACTTCTGCCACTTCCGAGGATTGAACTGGACTACAGTCTTGGCAGGAAAGGATTAACCACTATGCCTTATGTATATTAAATAAGAATAATATATATAATAAGAATGTTTTGATTGGCACTCACAGAAAGAAAAAAAGAAATAAAAAGACATACTAAACAACATACAGATTAAACGCTTTGGTTAAGAAGTTAGAAAGCTACAGATTATTATGTTGTCTAGTGTATCCATCTTTCCTCTCCATAATATGAGTGCAGATCCATACACATCTAGTTATTTAATAAATATAATCTCTTTACAGCCTCAAGAGGTTACCACCTGTTTATTTCTAACAATTATGTCATTATGGCGAATTTTAAGCAAAAATAATGGTTCTGAAGTCAGATGCTTTTGGACTGATTGCTCTTGTAAATTGTTGGCACCTTTTTGTCTTTTCAAATGATAGTTTCATATTGTGTTGTAGGGGGCATAAGAATCACAGAGTATGGTGATGTTTAATTGAAACTCAAACTCAAGGGCAGTACTGTACAGACCATTTCTTACCCATGCAACCAGCCTTGTTTACTTCAAAGGAAAGGATGTAACACCAACATGTTTGGAACAAAGAATGCTGCAGAACGTGCCAGATAGCAGAGAAATATTTGTCTACATGTTGGAGATCATAACTAGACGAACTACCAAACAAGGCTAAGGGCCTGGTCTGCAATGCAATAACTAAGTTGCATTTCTTCTTCCTAGAATAAGGCTAGTACCCTCCCCAGGTTTTTCACACACACACATGCACACAGGCACATACACACTCAGTATTAACAGAGAAAAGGTAGTATTGACTAATGTTGTACAGTAGCAAAGCTATATTTGACAAAGAACTGACTACAGGCCTTGTGGATATCCTGCACTAAAACACTGATCTCTGAAGTTAGAAAAGATTCAGATCTCTGATGTTAGAAAAGATACTGATCTCTGATGTTAGAAAAGATACTGATCTCTGAAGTTAAAAAAGATTCAGATCTCTGATGTTAGAAAAGATACTGATCTCTGAAGTTAAAAAAGATTCAGATATCTGATGTTAGAAAAGATACTGATCTCTGAAGTTAAAAAAGATTCAGATCTCTGATGTTAGAAAAGATACTGATCTCTGAAGTTAAAAAAGATTCAGACCTCTGATGTTAGAAAAGATACTGATCTCTGATGTTAGAAAAGATACTGATCTCTGAAGTTAAAAAAGATTCTGATCTCTGATGTTAGAAAATATACTGATCTCTGATGTTGGAAAAGATACTGATGTTAGAAAAGATACTGATGTTAGAAAAGATACTGATCTCTGATGTTAGAAAAGATACTGATCTCTTAAGTTAGAAAAGATACTGATCTCTGATGTTAGAAAAGATACTGATCTCTGATGTTAGAAAAGATACTGATCTCTGATGTTAGAAAAGATACTGATCTCTGATGTTAGAAAAGATACTGATCTCTGATGTTAGAAAAGATACTGATCTCTGAAGTTAAAAAAGATTAAGATCTCTGATGTTAGAAAAGATACTGATCTCTGATGTTAGAAAAGATACTGATCTCTGAAGTTAAAAAAGATTCTGATCTCTGATGTTAGAAAATATACTGATCTCTGATGTTGGAAAAGATACTGATCTCTGATGTTAGAAAAGATACTGATGTTAGAAAAGATACTGATGTTAGAAAAGATACTGATCTCTGATGTTAAAAAAGATACTGATCTCTTAAGTTAGAAAAGATACTGATCTTTGATGTTAGAAAAGATACCAATTTCTGATGTTAGAAAAGATACTGATCTCTGATGTTAGAAAAGATACTAATCTTTGATGTTAGAAAAGATACTGATCTCTGATATTATAAAAGATACTGATCTCTGATGTTAGAAAAGATTCTGATCTCTGATGTTATAAAAGATACTGATCTCTGATGTTAGAAAAGATACTGATCTTTGATGTTAGAAAAGATACCAATTTCTGATGTTAGAAAAGATACTGATATCTGATGTTAGAAAAGATACTGATCTTTGATGTTAGAAAAGAAACCAATTTCTGATGTTAGAAAAGATACTGATCTCTGAAGTTAGAAAAGATACTAATCTTTGATGTTAGAAAAGATACTGATCTCTGATATTAGAAAAGATAATGATCTCTGATGTTAGAAAAGATACTGACCTCTGATGTTAGAAAAGATACTGATCTCTGAAGTTAGAAAAGATACTGATCTCTGATGTTAGAAAAGATACTGATCTCTGAAGTTAGAAAAGATACTGATCTCTTATGTTAGAAAAGATACTGATTTGGGAAGTTACAAAAGAAACTGATCCTTGATGTTAAAAAAAAAAAGATTACTGTTGTCTGATGTTAGAAAGAAAGTACTGATCTGTGAAGTTAGAAAAGATACTGATCTTTGAAGTTAGGAAAAAACTGATCTTTGATGTTAAAAAAAAATACTGATTCGTGAAGTTAGAAACAAATACCCGGGACTTGAAATTGAAAGTCTCCAGTAGAGTTAACCAGCATAGAGCCATCTTGGTAAGTGTCTGATGCTGGTAACCTGAAAATAAAAATGTTTATGTTTTCATGTAACGATTACAGGGAGCATTTATTTTATATGATCTTGCTACATCTTATACTTAGGCCATATTTTGCTTAAACAAACTTGTACAAGTAAGACCATTTTTACTATAGTCATTTAAAAATCGTATGTCTACACGTACTTCATATAAGAGAGGAAGTGAGAGTGAAGAGGGCAGAGAGACAGAGGGATAGAGAAGAGAGTGAGAGAAAGAGAGAGGGGAAGAGAGAAAGAGAGAAGGGGAGACAGAAGAGAAAGGGAGAGAGGAACAGAGAGAGATAGAATATTTTCACAATGTATACAGCTTATATATGGGACCTGTATGAATGCAAGAATGAATAAATGAACGAATGAATGAACAAATCAAGAATTGACATCCCTGCATGCGAAACATTCTCGCATGTGCTCGGCCTCCTTCCTCTGTAGCCAACGAAGAGCTGTCATAACCTTATTTAAAGTGCGCAAATGTTTTATCCCGCAGTGTTGAGTATCTTCCAGACCCTCTGTGTGCACATCCCACTGAATTAGTCTGTCAATATATGGCTACTCCGTCTGTTCTGTTGCACTGCTCCTTTGACCTCACAGAGCCTTCACAATTTCTGCTTTATCATAATGTAGCTCACCACCCAGAGGAGCTGCATCAGCCAATATATCAGCCTGCTCATTACCCTGCGCATAAAAGAACAACAACGGAAGCCATGGTTAAAGAAGTTTTTAGTCAAGATGGCATGCTAACATTGCTTGACAAAAATGTGTGAATATTTTTACTGAGATTTTGTTAAAATATGTTAAAAGTGTTCTAAAATGGGATTAAATTATTGCAATGAGAAGTGTGATGTTAACAATAAATCTACAACAAAATCTAAATTTTTCTGACAAATTTCTTCTTCTTCTTAAGCATATGAGACCTTGAGGTTCATTTTTGCACAAATAATTCACCTTCATTTTTCTCTGTAACTGGTGATCTTTCCTGAAACATACTTTACAGAAACTTACAATTAATTAGGTTTACCAGCTAAGATTGACTAGTAATTTCACATTTCACAATCACCTATTTTGTTGAATAAAGAATAAACATCACAGCACTCGAAACACTCCCATAAGTGCTCCATCCAAATCTTCAGCAGCAAGCGAAGAGTTAAAATTCTGATGGTACCAGTAACTGTCTGATTGTATATCCGTCTCACCTATTCCCTGAATGTTGAGTGTTGGCCAGATCCCCTTGATACTCCTCGCAGTGCCATTCTCCTCAATAAGACAAAAGTCTGGATATGGACAATCAACCAGAACTCTACACCAGAGTTTAGAAGCTGGTAAAGGCTAAGAAGAAGAAGTAGACTTACCTATTTGTGAGCATGTTAATTCTTCTTTGTGCTAAATATAGCATTTGCTGTGTTTGGTCAAGCTGAGCAATCAGCTCATCATTCTCATCTTTCAGTTTCTGAAATAAAAGACAGGGATGTTGGTCGTAGGGCATCAGATGGAAAAACAAAAACAGGTTATAACCATAAAAAAAAAAGATTTCCTCAAATATATGAACAGAACAGAACAAGTCAAAATTTGTTGCTTATGCACTGCACTGGACACTGCAGACTCAACAAATGCTCATATTAATTAGGTTTGAGCCAAACAGCTGTCTGTCAGTGTCTTAATGCTGAACAGACTCCAGAACATGTCTTGCAAGACTGTCCTCTTGTGGTCGAGCTTCAAAAAGACATGTGGCCATACCCAGTCGACTTGACAACTAAGCTTTAGGGAAACCTAAGAGACTTTGAGATGACCTCCCATTGTATGGCACACAGTGGATTATGCGTACGACCAAAGATCACTGAAGAGGAAGAAGAAGGTCACAAGGCATGAAAGAAAATAAAACCAAACAGTCATCATTAGCCTGATATGCTGTTGTACATCCAACAGGGCTCATTTAGTTTGTTCTTCTATTCTCTTTTATTGTGTGTGAAATTGTGTCAATATCATGGTTGAAATACAGTCCAGCACCTCTGGCCTTAACTCTTATTCTTTGGGATGTCCCTGTTTCAACACTTCATGTGATTCTAATTTAAATTCATGTTCAGTGATTCTCTGTTTCTCTCAAGATGCCCCCAATATATTGCCATCTCCTTTGTCTTAGCATAACATAACTTTTGACCCATTAGGGTAGTTGAGGTGTATTGATGGAAACACTAGCACATAAAACCCACCATCTTTCTCTGTCTTCCGCTTGATGAATAAGTGTATGATAACTTAGTCCTGTTAATTTCTTCATGTTGACATTCTAGGTTCTTCTTTGACTACCCCCAATGTTCCTTGAAGTACAGTCTTTGCAATCGAAATCATGTCTCACCACGTGCCCAAACCAAGCTAGCTTGTGACATTTCACCACTGCCAAGAGAGGCTCCTGATGTCGCGCAAATTTGTATATATCCTTTGTCTTATAACTGTTGATACCAGAGATTGTCTAGACATTTGTCTTATTTCATCGCCTTTATTGATTTCATCCAATTTAAGTTAATGTTTTTCAATTCCCTAAGCACTAATACAAAGGATGGCATGACAAGTTTTGATTTGCTGTGATGATGTAAATGTGCCATCTAATGGAGGAGCTAAAGTATGGACCAGTGACACCCTGACAGGCTCAATATTCAGCACTCATTCACAGTTCTGGACTTCTCAGTCCTGCTGTGAATAATGTTCAACTTACAAACATATTAATTCTTTTTTATTTATATATTTCCCTACCTTTTCTCCGTCCCTCATACAAATCTGGTTTGACAATAGCTTTCCTGTCCACTGTCCTCTATCTGTCTCATTTTTGTTATATTGACATTCGCGGTTGTTTGTTTGTTGGCTTTTCATTCCAGTTTTTTTTTTATTGACTGATAAAGACTTTGGTAACAACAAATGTATTTGTGAACATCTTTTCTTTCCTTCCATTAGGCTTCCTTGTCACAGTCTGTGTTATGTTACATTATCTCTTGATATCAGCTTGATTGCAATCAATCCCCCCTCACCCCACCCCACAATTTATTTTGACAAAAACAGACAAACCTTATTTTGCTGCTGCATCTGGATTGCCTCATTGTGATCTTCAGCTGTTTCTGCTAGTTTAAGCTGGTAACATAAAAAAAAAATAATAATAATAAATTTATATAATTAGAAGCTTGCTGCTTTATCATAAAGTTGAACGCGACACCATAAAGGTTGCAGCCACAAATAAGTTGTTGCTGGCATCTTTCCATCTTTCCAGATGACAGTGTTATATTGTGCTATAAGGAGGCATAGGACTCACAACCCACCGCGATGTTGGATAGGACTAGCAAGACCGCTCGTTTTAACTCTTTGAGCCCCAGGGGGTTTAGCACCACAGGCCCAGGGGGTAGTAAAGAGAGTCATAAAATCGGCGCATCTTGCGTTCATTGGGCTTCTAGGTAGGAACCTATGAACGTATGATGCATTTCTTAAGACTCAAAGAGTTAGGAAAAGTCTTCTATAATTATAGGATGTGATTTCAGGACTGTTGTTGCCAGCACTTGTGTATAGTGGGTTTCTTCTCAGATGCCCAGAGCTCACAAATAAGTAAGTATATTGAAAACTTCATCACCAGTACAGCTAATTCTAATGTACAGAAGGTAATCATGGACAGTGCAGACTAGTGAACAATTACATGGACGGTGCTGCATTGTTATTTCACAGAAAAATGACAAGAACACAATGAACAAACTGAAAAAAAAAATGAAGATGCTATGATGGAGATGGCTTCTTAAGAAAACTCATTACCTTTACTAGAAGTAGACAACTGACATTTTTGGGGGCATGTCATGCACAAAAAAAGTGGTAGGTTAAAAAAAAAAAAAAACTGGAATATGCAGCAACAACAGGAAAGCAAAAAGATATGAGAGTCAGAGGTAAATCATAGCTTTATGGCGTGCAGGAAAATCTGTATCTCAAATTTTCTTATTCTTCTTCATTTTCACCAGCTGTGCAGCCCGGTGGAATGTTCTAATTGTTTGTCCATTTCTGCAGTGCAGTCCGTGCAGCCCAGTGGAATGTTCTAATTGTTTGTCCATTTTTGGAGTGCAGTCCGTGCAGCCCAGTGGAATGTTCTAATTGTTTGTCCATTTTTGGAGTGCAGTCCGTGCAGCCCAGTGGAATGTTCTAATTGTTTGTCCATTTTTAGAGTGCAGTCCGTGCAGCCCAGTGGAATGTTCTAATTGTTTGTCCATTTTTAGAGTGCAGTCCTGTTCCAGAACCTGAGTATTGTGTGTGTATCCATTTTATAGATCCGACTGATTTGTATGCAGACTGTTGGTTCTTTGCCTCTCAGGCAGATGCACTCAGACTTCAAAGGAAGCTCCAAATTAATTAACTCTTATACAACATGCTTTTGGGTAGACAGTGGGTCTATTCTTGTTCTCCCCTCAATGTGTCCCTGGAACCTACATGGTGACGTATCAGAAAGGACTGGCAGTATTTGAGACAGAAGACCATGGACAGACATGATCAATACAATGCAGCAAAAACATTAAGATAAAGATATTAAAAACAGCTTTCTCATCCTTTCGCCATCTCAGTCTTTTTCACTATTCATCCATCTTATCTCTTCCTCCCACTTTTTTGTTGTTGCTCTAGTAAGAATCATCAAGTAATCATCAATTTTTGCCGTCTTCACAATAAAAGTTGGCTGCAATAGATCAGTGTCTCCTGTCGTGGTTGTAGACTCTCTGAAACTGCTGTTTGTCCATCTCTTGATGTTTCCCTCCCACTTGTATCATTGTGTACCTCTTGCTCTAATGTCCTTGACCTTTCCCTCCAGTATGGTTATTAAATGAGTGTTATATCTTTTAATGTGGCTGTTGACAATTTTAATTTTTGATGTGTAAGAAAACACTGGAAACAAACTTTAATCATGAAGAAGATATTACAGAATTACTATTCACCGATGACCAGGTACTCATAGCAGAAAGTACAGAATGCCTACAGAACCACCTAAATCAAATTAACAACAAAGGGGAGGAATATAATATGAAAATCAACACTACAAAGACAGATACAATGGTTATAGGAAGAAAGAAAGACAATTTAGAAATACAATTAAAAAACAATGCTTTAAGACAGAGGAATTTAAGTATTTAGGAGCAATTTTCACATCCGATGGAAATCTGGATAGAGAAGTTAGCACAAGATGTGTAAAAAGTAAATTAAGTAATGGAGGAATAAATCTCCCCTGCTGACACACAAGCAGATACCCCGGAGTACTAAAGTTAATCTTATCAGAACTATTTTTTGGCCAACACTATACTATCAGTGCCAAATGTGGACATTTACATCCTCTAATGAATGTACAATTGGGACAACAGAGATGAAATGCCTTATAAGAGCTGCAGGAGTTTCAAGAAAAGACAGAATACAAAATCAGACAAATACTAGGAATAAAGCCAGTCTTACAGGTCATCGAAGAACAAGAAATAAAGTGGTTTGGACACCTAACAAGAATGCCCGGGTATTATCTGTCATAGCAAGCCACACTAAAATGTTACAACGGGTATAGAGCGAGCGGAAGACCTCGGAAAATATGGAGTGATGGCATTAACTCTTTAAGGCCCAAGCAACGGTGTGAGCGTTGTTTGAGAAGTTCCGTTTTTCCCAAACAACGGTGTCATCGTCGATCGTGTGTCCCCTACATTTTGCTTCGCACACGCTCCCTAACTAGTTTATAATGTTAGGAGGTACGATTAAACTATTCAGGGAAAGTTATTCTGCAGAAATCCTTTTAGTTTAATTTCCTAGGCTAATCCAAACACGTGAGTAATTTGAATGAAATAACAGCAAAATTTAAGAATAAGGATCACCCGGGTGTAAGTCTCAGAACCCTGTTTAACCGTTAAGTTATAATATGGCCCCTGACTATAGCCGGGGTGGGGCTTTAAAATAACAAAAAACTGGATGAGGAATACAGATGATGCAAGCCATTTACAGAGACCAAAAGCCTGAATGTCAAAGCATCAGACTTGAGAAATAAAAACATCTACAGCCGTGGTTACCAGTTAGCAAAAAGACTTTTTCCCGAAGGTCTTCCACAGACTCACTATTTTTTAAGTCATTAAAAAAAAAAGAAAATCTAGGTTAGAATAAAAAAAAATTAACAAATTGTTTTAAAAAATGGGTTTAGGTAGTGAGCCGGCCAGACTCTCTGGTTACACCCAGATGCCTCATTCTCTCCAGGCCATAATAATCTTCTTTCTCTACTGATTCCGTTGCTTGTTCCCAAAGGGACTTGACCACATCTGCCTTGTCATGTATAAATTCACCACTCAGTGGTGCAGATCCAGCCAGTCTGTCTGCTTGTTCATTACCCAGCATGCTGGCATGGCCTGGAGAAAAGATCTAAAGTATTTTTTTGTCTAAATGATAGCCTGTACCCCTTTCTCCTTTCTCAGAGATCGTGAAGCACAAACTGGCAACTACTGTTCTTGAGGAATTGCTAGCCAACCAATCTAGACTTTTCATTCTTACCTAAAGTTTAGTTCTGAAATTACCTTGTTTTTGAGATCTTTCTTGAGACTTTCATTCTGTTTACTCAGAAAAAGAACCTTCTTATTAGACTGAGCCAGTGCTTGGTCCTGTTCTTCGATCTCCTGTAAGTTCAGCCAGAAAAAAAAAATTTTTTGCTTGAAAGCAACCATAATCTAGTTGAGTTTAGTTTTAACATCTGATATCACAGCACTCAGGACATTCCCATAAGCACTCCGTTCCAATCATCAGCAGTAGAGCAGATTTCCAACTCTGATAGTACCAGCAACAGTTTGACTGGTGAAAATATGGGGGTGACTGCAGTCAAGCTAATACAAGGAATTCCAGAGAAATTTGACTGAAAAGCTCAACCAAATGAGGAAGCAGAAAAACGTGTACAAACCAACACAAATAATGTAACGTTTCGGCCAGGCAACCCATTTGGTTAAGATTTTTAGTCAAATTTCTCTGGAATTTCTTAACAGTCTGTTTGTATGTCTGTCTTGCCTCTCCTCTAATTGTGAAGTGTTGACCACATCCCCTGGGCACTCCTTTTTGCTACCATAATCAATAGATATCAGAGTGCATAGATGGATATATTTATTGTATCTTCTTATTTTTTTGTGGTCTTAAAAACTGACTTGGAACACAGTTAAATGAGTTTAAAAATAAGAGCCATGAAATAATTTGAGAAGTAAATATGATCTCTTCTTTTACTGAATTGTAAAATCTTCACATACTTTATAAAATAACCATTTCTACAGACAGTCTTAAACTTTCTGGCATTCATATTTTTGTGAAGCGTGGGGATTGATCATAGACATGTGCTGATTGGGAAGAAAGAATTATATCACCACTTGGGGGATGAAATTTAGACAACTGTCTCATTATGTCAACAGGGTAGACAATGCCAAAGGTGATAGGAGAATCAGTTTCAAATCCAGCTGCGACTAGCCTCAGCCCACGGCCAGTGTTTTAAACCGGGCAGTTTCCGGGGTTCACCCAGCCTATAGGAAATGGGTACCAGAGTTAACACTGAGGTAAATGGAGGAACTTCACGCTAGCTACGGAGTTTCTTGCGGACGGCGACACAGGCAGACAGTTTCTTATCAGCTGTCCGTACTGGTGGCAGAGCACTTATAGTTTATAACCGTGTGCAATGATGTTGGTTCACATCTCCCGACTTCACCTTTACCTCTAGATTTATAATGATACTCTAGTAAACATAAAAGATACATGCTGGTAATTTTAAACAGTTACAGTTTAAAAAAAACAACCCAGCAACTGTGTCTATGTGAAAATTATCCCTGCCAACTTTCCCTTTCTCACAAAAGACTAAAGTTTTCTCCTTTCTAAGACAACCCAAAGAATAAAAAGTATCTCTTTTTTTTACGTGGGTAATCAAGTCTCTTCTTCTTCTTCTTCACTTCCTCTTTTACCGCTGTGGGTGTCGAGGAAGATGTAAGGTTCTGTTTCTAGCTCTTCTGGCTGCCTCGACCATAGGCACATCGTGCTGTTGTAGAGTTTCTGATGTTATCCTTCCATCTTGTTCTTGGTCTACCCTGTGCTCTACGTCCTTCTCCTCTTTCCATGTATGCTTTGTATGGTATGGTGTCACAAGGCATTCTCTCTAAGTGGGCAAACCATTTCACTTGCTGTCTTTGTATGTAATCCAGAATTTGTTCTGTGCCAACTTGTTCTCTTATGATCTCATTCCTGATCTTATCTCTTATGGTCACTCCTACAGCCCTTCTCAGACATCTCATTTCCGTGGTTACTAATTTATCAAGTCTCTTCATGAGATAATTTCTGTGGAGAGATCGTCATTTCATGTTTTTATATTTTCATGACATTTTCCTCATTTTCAATAAAAATGTCTACAGCCTTCACATAATTTTTCATTAACTGGTTGGCTGTCCATGATTCACTTGCACGCATCAGGATTAACTATATGGCTCATTTGAACTTTCTTTATCATGTCAGTTAGGAACACAATTTAAAATGATTGAAAAATTGCAAAAATGATGGAAATTGTAGTTTGACATACCTTCTGGCTATTGGCGAGCATTGCAAGTAATTGTTGTCTTTCTTGCTTTGACTTCTTGTCAATATCATCTAGGCTAGCAATTATTCTTGATAATTCTGCTGCTTTGGTCTCTCTCTCAGTCTCCAATTCTGACTTCAGATCTCTGATCTGCTCTTGGTACTTTGTGTCTATTGTCCTGTAAAAAGCTGACTGTTTATTTGCTATTTCAAAACTCACTGGTATAGATTTTTAGAATTAGCAGACAGTCATCAACATTGTGTGCCTTACTTAAGTAAAGCTCTGTGTGTGTAAGTGTGTGAGAGGGAGAGAAATAAGGACAGAAAAAGAGAGACAGAGAGAAGGGGGAGAGAAACAGAGAGAGGGGGGAAAGAGACAGAGAGATGGGGAGAGAGAGGGATGGAGAGAGGAAGGAAAAAAAGAGGAGAGGGAGATGGAAAGAGAAGGAGGGAGAGAAAAAGAGACGGAGAGAGAGGAAGAATATATAATACCAAGTCTATCTACAGAATTTGAAACTTAGTATTTTAAACCAAGTGTTCTGAGAATATCCCTTCCTGTCACCATCTTGAACCATCTATTCTAATTTAATTTTGGCCTGTCTCTGCATCTTTTACCACTGATCCTTCTTTCATCTTTCTAGTTGTCACAAAGTTATCCAATGCTTTTCTTTTTATATGACCAGAAAAAAAAAATATTGTCTATATCTTTCTTATAGTAGCATTAAATGTTCAATTTTCTCTTCCAGACAGTTATTGTTAGCTGCTCTTGAAGTCCAAGTTATTCACAACATTTGCCCCAGAAACCACATTTCTGTTTCCAACTTCTTTCTAATAGCAGGGGGTAAATGAAACAATATCCTGTTCAAACCATCTGGGTTGTAATTGACACATATATTTGTTCCTTTACGTTTTACTATTTATTAGATATATTTTTGCCAATTACTATTTGATGGTGTATTAACTATTGCTAATATTTGTTTATAAATTTATCAGTATCAAGCCACATAGCAGAATATATTGAAAATAATATTTCAGTGCTATCTTTCTGACATTTAATAACAGTGACTTACTACACAAGATCCATGTCAAGTTCTGAAATGCAGTTGCTACTTGGCTCAAAATCTCTGCATTTTCCATCGGATGATATAACTGCCCCCAAATGTTGGTTGCCTATCCTTTACAGGATATTGCAGAACTAATCCCAACATTTTTTGGCTGTTGTGGTTTTTCTAGCTCTATTTTACGTTCAGTAGTTTTTCACTGCTTTCTGAACGTCCAGCATCAGTTCCACTGTTTCATCTTACACAAGACAAACCGCCCGCAGCTGGGAACGAACCTAGCAAAACGGCACCACAAAGTCCATTTGCAGCGCCTAAGCCACAGACACCCCCAAATATTTGAGTTTATTTATTAGGTTAAACACATTTATAAAAGCACTTCAAAATCTAAATACTGTTTTAAAAAAATTTGGCTATTTAGTATTTGTTTAAAAAAAAATTCATTAACCCTGCCGCCTCAGTAAACATGGACAATGACCCTGTGAGCCCCCCCCCCCCCCCCAACTACCAATTTCCCCCCCCCCCTGAAAAGCAACAATTTTACACTGGTCACCATCACATTTTATAAAAATTTGTTTACCTATATTTGTCAGTATTTGGGAAACATGTAAAGATAGAAAAAGAGAGTTTTCAGTAAAACTTGAGCATTAAATGGAATACATTCCTTGCAGCCTAATAAAAAGGTATGTTTCACATGGCTCATGTCATGACCCAGTTACCTCTATCACTGATGCTTATGGGAAAATTTGACGTGGCTTTATTAAAAAGCTATCTGGTTCACACAAAAAACCCACTAAATCAGGGGTGGGCAACTCTTTTGCTTTTGATTTGTTTTTTATGGGCCAAATTTAGAAATTCCAATCTAGTCCCAGACCATATAGAAAATCCATTATAAACACAACATTCCTATTTTCTCATAGCACAATATTTTTGTGAGATAATCTAAGGTTTATAATCCCTTGCCACACCTCCGGCAAAACACATCCACCCACCAAAGAGCCTTGATATATTTCTAAATGTGCCTATTCAGGCTAGTTATTTGCATAAATCATATTACTGAGAAAAACTGGTGGTATTGGTGGGGGGGGGGGGGGGGGGGGGGGGACAGAGAAAAGTGTGGGTGGGTTGTTGTGTGTAATCTATGTATTATTCATGTCTACCGCCCTGATCTCATCCTCAGACAAACCAGTCCAAGAAAGGTTACCACACTTCTTTGATCTATAAACTTACAGGCCAGAGAAAAAGAACAGTCACTGCTTTATATTTTATTATCAAAGCCCACTGACAAACACTGTCTCCCGCTGTCCGAGTTTGTCCACAACATGTGTTTCACTAGCAGGGTCAAAGATTTAGCAACATCAGTTACTGGTTATCACTTATAAAATTTTTTTTTTTTTTTTACATTTGAATGTGTTTTTATTTATGCATACAATCATATGTTTTTGTATTCTGCTAGTTTGTGAGCCCAAAGGCAAGACTATAGATTAATTTTACACGAGCCTCACAGGCCAGTAATAACTGCTCGGTGGGACAGCTTTGACCCACAGGCTATAGTTTCTCCATTCCTGCCCTGAATACTATTTTAGTAAATATGTTCAAATCCTGACCTCTTAAATGCTGTGCAGGCCTGAACTAAGCCAACAACATTAACTATATTTCTCGTAAACAAATCACTCTAGACAAGTTTGAAAAGTGACATTTATGAGAAATTTGACCCAAATGGAAAAACTGTCAGTTTTGCAGCCTCTCGGGGCAACAGGATTGAAGCACTGGAAGATGAAACAGATATGGTTTTAGAATCTAAACACTAAATAACAGACAAGATAATTTGTAAAAGAACAAAAATCAAATAACAAATTACCTAAGACAGTGACACTGGGGAACTCACCGATATGCACCTTTTATGTTTCTTAGAGTATCACTGCGAAAGTGTAAACAAAAAATAATGTATATATTTGGACTTCAGGTTCTGAAATATAAAACTATTCAATTAGGAAACAACAAGCCCCTGAGGTTCACTGCTGCAGGTACATATCACCCATCTCTATTCATCACTGTAGTTGGCCTTATGGGAGAGAAAATTTGTAAATAAAGTTGAAAGTGAGGATATCACTGTGGGGGATAAACTAATAGTAATGCTGTTAGAAGAGAGACCAGAATGAGGATTCACCCCTAGAATGGAGGGGCACAATCACTGCAGAGCAGAGTATGTACAAATAAAAATATATGCAGTAACTGCAGCTTTAAGATGGCTTTTTGAGATTCGAGACATCACACCTACAGAAGCTGATATGGCTTTACTGTCCAGGCCATTCTAATGATGGCAATGAAAACGCAAACTGGCTGGTCTCCAGGGCATCGCTTGAGCAAATCTTTGGTGCAAGGTTGGAGAAAAAGGGGTGGGGGTAGGGGTACTCAGTAATCCCCCTCCACCCTTTATTTAGACATAATTTCCTTTCAGTGCTACTGTTGTACACATAAAGTGGTGAGTACTGGCACCTTTTTAAAGACACTTTGAAATACCAACACCTTTTTCTTCTAGGGGAAAAAAAAGAGAATGTCTGGAGCAGATGTTATGATCTTTGTAAATGACTGGCTGTTGCAGGGGGAATCACAAATCACTGACTACAAATGCTTATGTAGTAATCCATAAGTGCTCCGTTCTTCCAACTCAATCTGAGTCCGAAGAAGCTCTGCACAGTGCACAAGCTCTGAAGTACCGGCGAGGATCCTGAAATACTTTAAGTAGATTTTTTACCCCAAATTTTGCCAGAGCAGTGCGGTTAGACTTCTCTTTTCTCAGTAAGTGAAGTGGTCAAGATCATACGTTTTGTTGATAGGTAAAGTTAAGGATCCTTTAAAAACCTGTGGCACATCAGGCATATAAAGCTATACACATAGTTTTATAGACCAGTCAACAGCAGGCCAGCTACCCTTACTTCCCAGGATTTTACCTAGTACCAGTTTAATGCTGGGTCGACCTGGGAGTCAAAGTCCTGTCAGAAAAGATTTGACTCCATAGGGATTTTAACCCAAGACCTTCAGATCTGCAGGTGAATGTCTAGATGCTAATCCACAGCTGTTCCCTGTTTGTTCGTGCTGGAAGCCAGTTTCTAAGAAAATAACTGGATATAACTCACAGAAGTTTAGACTTCCAGTATTCATCCACCTGGAAATGTGAGTCATCCATGTCAATTGCAAGCAGTGAATTATAAGCATTTGCCTGTGACAGGTCTTGCTGGAGTTTCTTGTTCTCTTCCACTGCCTCATTTAATGCAGACCTGAGGAGTGTCAAGGATACAAGCATGAAAAAAGAGAAAGACATAAAGAGAGGTGCTATGTTTTCTTACGGTAAGCAATACCACAATGTCAACTTGTTTCTGCAGATTGGAGCAATTTTATGTTAAGGCCACATTAAATTTGTGTATAAATGTATGCCTGCACACCCAAAAACACCCACCCATCCAACATACATGGACAGAATACAAGTACATATGTACTCACACATGACCTTTTTTTCCCCCCAGCTTTTCTCCTCTTCTTCTTAGTTTTTAACAACTGTAAACCTCAGCAGAAAGTTCTGATTGTTAGTCCACTTCTGCACACCCATTTTATAAATTCGGTCTCCTTTGCATGCAGACTGTTTGTTCCTTGCCTCTCAAGTAGAAACACTCCAACTTTAAAGGAAACAGCCCTAATTAGTCACCTTTGATTAAATGCTGAGGGAAAGGTGGGGGGGGGGGGGGGGTGTGCAGTTGGACTATTATTTTGTAACCCAAAACCGAGCCCAGGAACCTACAAAAGACATTTTCAACAATATGCCATGTTTAACTTGATTTCAAGTAAAATACAATTTTTTTTCTTCAGGCGAACAGATTTTCTATATGACATCCAGTTTTCTTCATGTCTCCTTACAGTCTTAGTCTTAGTCGAGGTTTCAGCATGAGGATGAAGATGGAGTTAATCACTGCAGCTCTGAGGTGGATAGCATAAAACATTATCACCAGAAGAATTTAAGTGACTGATTCTCTTTTGCTACTGCAGAAGGCTAAATATAAACAAATGCGGCACAAGTGGATACCAAGCATCAGCACATGAACATTACAGGATCTTAACTGGATATGCTGTCATGGATGTACTGTCATGGATATGCTGTCATGGATGTGCTGTCATGGATGTACTGTCATGGATGTGCTGTCATGGATGTACTGGACTTACATAATGCAAGGGAATAAAGAAGAAGACTTTGTAACTAAAAAAAAAAAAAAGATAGCTACAGGATCACTTGATCTGGACAAAGGTGACATTCTGAAGACAATTTATGAATGGATGCTGATAGAAAACAACAAAGTTAGATGAAAAAACATGTTTAAGACTGTGTGGATGTGGAATTAGGAATGGATCTGGCAAGGAGGGACGTATGAGAGGAAGAGAATGACGTATGTATGATCAGTGAGCTATGGGAACAGTTAGCATCTTCATCTTAAGACATTTGCTGTGGGAGAACAAACATCTATGGATATAGCACAGTGTGCTATGATATCAGTAATCAAACCTATGGGAAGGACTTATCACTTTCAGAGCCTTTTGGTCTATTAATGTATGGGGCTAGCACCTTAAGTCCATACTTCAAGGCATGGAAATGGGATCAACCAGGACAAAAACATTGGGAAGGCTAACTCTGTCAACAAATGCCTGCAGAAATTAGATGTGTCGACTGAAAGGAGCAAATATCACAGCCAAGCTGTAAATGGGCACAGTGCAATTACATGTCAGATGAACCCAGAAGAAGAAGAAGAAGAAACAGGTCAGAAGCACACTTGCACAGTTTCTACATTTTACCTAAGATGTCTGAGTTCATGCTGGTAACCAATCAGTGCAGCAAAACAGACAGGATCTGATGAACTCAAGTCTGCGAGCACTTCATTCAAGACTGCTGTTAGGTCTGACATATTTATCTGCCTATCTGTGTTGAAACCTAAAGACTGCAAATATGAAAAATGTTGTTTGTTCAGTTATAAAGATTACTCTGTTCATCCTTAAGGAAGGTTATAATTGAGGTCATTAGTTAAGTGAAGATTTTATTCATAAACAGATGATTATTTGTAATATATTTGAATTTTTGTGTGTGTGGAGGTAAGAAATATGAGAAAATTGCTGTCACTTAAAACTGTGATCTAGCTTATTCAAGAAAAGAGGTGTCTCTTATAACCGTGATCTAGCATACATGTGAAATGTGCTGTCCTTAAAACTGTGACCTAGCAAACACGTGAAATGTTAGTAAAGTGAGTAAAGGATCATCTCTCCACCCCTCCCCTTTCAGATGCACAGAGGACCAGACCTAATTTTATAAACCAATTAACACTTGATGGGTGATATGGTCAGCACATGCTGGCTGCCTTTACTTCCCAGAACTGTACCTGGTACCCACACAAGGGTGTGTCGACCTGGGAACCAAGGTTTTAAAAAAAAAACTCCAGCTCTATCAGGACCCGAACCTACAACCTTCCGATCCGCAGGCGAGCATCTAGCCGCTACACCACAGTGACTCCCATATGTAAAATGTGCTGTCCTTAAAACCATAATCTAGAATATATCACAAATCAAATGCAAAAAAAAAAAAAAACTTTGATCCAGAATATATGAGAAATTAGCTGCTTCATAAAAATGTGATCCATTTCACATGAAAGTCAGGGTGTTGCATCAAAGTATGATCCCCTGTTGGTTCTAGGGCCCCATTGTGGGGGACCAACAAGAATCAGTCTAGACCTGCTGCTTCCCCCCCCCCCCATCTTCCCCTTCCCCAAAAAGCAAGTCAAGTCATAAGAATCAACAAATTATGGATGCTTCTTGCAAAGTCAGAGAGCATCTTCCTGAAAGGTAAGGAACCAACAGTCTGCATACAAATAAACCAGATTTTTAGAACAGATGTGTATGCAAAACTGAGGTTCTTGAACAAGACTAAAGTCCAGAAAGCAGATGAACAACAAAAACTTTCCACCAGAGTTTACAGCCAGTGAACACATAGAAGAAGAAGATACAAGTATGATCTAGCAAATGATCAATCAGTCTGTAATCTAGAGATGAAGCATTTAATCAAACTAATCCAATGTATGCAACAGATGAGACTGTCCCATCAAATATTATTCCTGCATGTACAAGAGATGGATTATTTCATCAAATCCAAGATCCAATATAGAAAAAGAAGGAAGAGAAAGGGGCAGCGTGGAGGTGATGTTGTATACAGCAGCTTACCATCAAAAGGTCTGATCCATGGACTATACCAAGCTGGTCCCAGAGGTCAAGTATGTCTTCAGGGCTGGCAGATCTGAAATATTGGGACTCAAGACTCTCACAAAAACCACTCAATTATTTCTTCACGTTATGCAATTATAACTTTGTATCGGCATCTGTGGCTTAGGTGTTGCTAACACACTTCGTAATGCCATGACTGAGGGGCTTAATCCCAGCTGTGTGTCTTGCACCTAGTATTGGTTTCGACAGTGGTATCAAGGAGACCGACCATCCAGAGAGTAATGGCAAACTAATGGATGTAAATTTGCCTAGAAAAACCACAAAAGCCAAAAAATTGCTGGGGTTGGTTCTGCAAAAATCCCTGTAAAGGATACACAACTTTTTTTTTTTTAAAACTTTGAATATTATAGAAGATGAAGCAGAGGAAATATACATAACTAACGGATGTGCTGGGCCTAAGGATGCAGTTATTGCAGCCTAGCTTCTTCTTTTATCATGTCACTGAAATCAGGCTGTCGGCCAGCGTTTTGGTTTTCTGTATTTGTCTGGCACTTCTCGGCTGACCTGGGTAATGAAGTCTATCAACAGTCCACTTTGTCAGTTGCCCTGTTACCTCCTTATTTCCCATCAACATACTATGCATGGCTGGATATTATTCATTTGTATCAAACATAAATTATATCTGTTTAAAAAAAATCAATTTTTAGTAAAGAATTCTAAAAACTCAAATGATATGTTTGTTTCCTGCAAAGTGTGTTTACTTGGCTCCTGTTTAAATAGTAAATTAGTGAGTTTAGTGTTGAATTGGTTATTTTCGTCTTTTTAGGACAAAATTTTTTTGTTATTTGAAGCCCCACCCCAGCTTTTGCCAGGGGCCGCAATATAGGCAAGCCATAAATATGGCTAATTGTCTGAACGCAGTTTCTGGGACCTCTCCACGGTGATCCTCATCCGCATGGTGGCACTTTGTGTCATCAGGTGTTTATCGCTTGTGTGATGTCCTGGTGGGGTAGAAAGTCAGTCAGTCAGTTTAGTGTTGTCAGTATTACTTTCCTCATGGATTAGCTATGATGTTTTGGGGACCTAAAGAGTTGAGAAAAAAAAAAAAAAAGATATAGTTAAATGGTTGCCCTTGTGTTACTAGGGAAGCCAAGAAAAGTAATGCTTAACTTACAGTGCCATAACAGGCAACTAAGGAAGGGTGGGTGTGAGAATGCTACCTCATCTAATATACAGTTTTAGCTGCAAAATCCAACCAGTCATCACCAAACCAATAAAGGGCCTAATTTGAGTTGGCTGACGGCCTATCCTCCCCTGAGAGATGAAAGACAGAGAATGAAAGTTAGGTATCTTTTACAGGACATTGTAGAACCAAACCCAGCATTGTTTGGCTGTTCTAGATTTACTAGGTAATTTTATGTTCAGTAGTTTGCTACTGCTTCTGAATGACTGGCTCTTGATACACCTGTTTAATTCGATACAAGGTGCATTGCTTTAGAAGGTCATGAGGAAGAAAGAGAGTATATATATTATCAGGGCTTTTGTGTGTGTGTGCATGCGCTTGTGAGTGAGTGTGTGAGTGAGTGAGTGTGAGTGAGTGAGTGAGTGTGAGTGAGTAAGTGAGTGAGTCAGTGAGTGAGGGAGTGAGTGAGTGAGTGAGTGAGTGAGTGAGTGAGTGAGTGAGTGAGTGAGTCAGTCAGTCAGTGACTTTACATAATGGTACAAAGTGCGAGCACATTTTTTTTTTGCATCATTATTTTCATCCTTAGACACTTTGCAGCACATTTTCTTCTAGAAGAAAACAAAACAAGCCCTGATTGTTGTAGACCGACTTAAAAGCTAATTAGTAAACCAGACTGAGATTTGTGGCTTTTCGTCTGGCTGGCGTGATGACACATGGGAACAACATAGATTTATTCACAACAAGAGTATAAATAGAACAGTCAGTATTTGTACTTTTATATCAACAGATAGAGATAAAGAGCACAAAATAATGTGCTAGATGCTATACCACTGATTCTAGCTAATCAATCAATCAATCACTCATTTAATCATTAACTTACCCATCCTCATTGTGTGGAACTGAAGAAAACAGCAAAGTCTCTCTATCGTTTAGTTTATGTGACTCAGTCGTGAATGTCCTCAACTTCTTTCCCTTACTCTGTGAGAGACTTGGTGGTCGAGACTTCTGTGATTGTGAATGCTTCAATGTTTGTGGCTGAGTTGCTGCTGAAGGTGAGTGAACAGATGAAGACATATGCAACCCACTCTCCAATTCTGCTAGTGAAATGAGGCCATCTTTATTGGTGTCCATTTTGTTAAAGAGTTTTATTTGTTCCTATATAAAAATAAATATTATCACACAAAAAAACAAAAAAAAAAAAACAGCCAGAAAGAAAAAAAACAATTACTGGCAAATCATTATGCAATGTGTAATAAATATATAATTAAGCTTTTTGCTTACTAGTGGTCTGGGTTTATATTCAATAGCCTAAGGACACCTACATCCTCCAATGAATTTAAAATTGTGACAACAGAGAGGAAATACCTTAGAAGAGCTACAAGAGTTTCAAAGAAAGACAGAATACAAAATCACAAAATCAGACAAACGCTAGGAATAAAGCCAGTCTTACAAGTCATCAAAGAACAACAATGCCTTGTAACAAGAATGCCCTGGTACTATCTGCCAGAGAGAGCCACAATAAAATGTTACAACAGGTATAGAGTGAATGGAAGGCCTACAAAAATATGGAGTGATGATATTAAGAACAGCCTTACAGAAATGAACATGTCTTAACAGTGCTCTTGACAGAGCTCATCAATGAATGTTACATCGTCCCCCAACACTTCACTGAGGTACAAGGTGGAAGAGAAGAAGAAGAAGAAGAAGCTAAAGGACAGTGGTTTTTTCCCTCTCGTGAAAGTATGGGTCTGCAGTTATCTCAGTCTTGTTTAAGACCATTTTCACGCCAGTGGCGCAATTAACATAGACTCATATTTTATAGACCAACTGGTACTTGATGGGGGATGTGGTCAGCATCATGCCAGCCACTTTTACTTCCCAGGACTTTACCAGGTACACATTTTATGCCGAGTCAACCTGGGAGCCAAGGTCATGAGAAAAATAAAATCCAATTTAATGTGGATTCTAACTTAAGACTTTTAGGCAGGCTGGTGAGCATCCAGCCACTACAACACTGCAGCTCCCATCCTAGTCTTGCATGGATGTACATAATGTTCAAAGAAGGTACTGAGAGAAAAAAAAAAGAACAGGTCACTTTGCCAACACCTCAACATCTGTATCTGCCATTGGACTATTCTTAATTTTCTTTCACTTGAGGATCTGATATTTAAGGAATGGTTATCCCATCACAGATAATGTCAGAATGTGTGATCTTTTTGGTCTTTCCATATACTGCTTTATTAGACCAGCTTCCTAGCTCGTCACTTTACCTTCCTAGCCAAATCTAGTTGCGTTTCCAAAGTAGGATGGATCCCAGAGAGTACTGTTTAAAAAAAATTTTGATCAATATTGGATATTGGTTGTAACATATCCAAAATAGTATTTCTCTGGTGTAATAATTTCTTCACTGAACAGACTGCTAACTCTGGGTGTATCCATAGAAACGATACATAAATGGGATATCTGAGGTGGTAAATACCAGCATCTATGTGGCAAATACCACCGCTTGCATCAGATGCTTCTTCAGAATATGATTCTAAAAAGCAGAACAGAGATTAGCGAAAATAAATAAATAAATAAAGAAGACCTTATAATATGCTATTAATAATTAGGCTCCTTTGTCTTCCTGGTGTTGTGTACCCCAATATTTTACATTTTAAAGTATAGTTTTCTAGGTACTATTTGCTTTAGATGACTGAGCCACCTTCATCTCTGTCTTCGTATGCAATCAATATTCTTTTTTTGTTCCTACCATTTCTCTCATAACATCTTTTGTTTTATCAGTCTGTTCTGTTTACATTACTAGCTCTTCTCACATCATGAACCTCACTGTGGTCAGTGACCATGCAACACTAATCTGGTGCAACAGCTGTAGAGTCTTGAAGCAAACACAAAAGGCAAGTTTTCAGACAAATATAACAAATATTTACCATATTAACACCATATGTAAAACTTAAACACATCCAACTTTGAATGAAGTGACCATGCTAGATACTGTTAACACATAATCTGGTGCAACAGCTGTAGAGTCTTGAAGCAAACACAAAAGGCAAGTTTTCAGACAAATATATCAAATATTTACCATATTAACACCATATGTAAAACTTGAACACATCCAACTTTGAATGAATTGACCATGCTAGATACTGTTAACACATAATCTGGTGCAACAGCTGTAGAGTCTTGAAGCAAACACAAAAGGCAAGTTTTCAGACAAATATAACAGATATTTACCATATTAACACTATACGTAATACTTGAACACATCCAACTCTGAACTCCCTTACATTCAGGATCACACATGCCTGCAGCAGTAAACTTATCTGACTATAACTCAGCAAGCAAAAATTACTGTTTTGTTTATAGAAGAAAAAAAAGGTATGAGTATTACTAACATTTGCTTCCCTAGACTGTTTCTGGCCAGAGTAACAATATTGTGAGTCAGATGGTATTTATGTAATGATAATCTGGGATAGAAAGAAATAAATGTCAACTAAATCACTGTTTGGTCATACAGTGGTTCTCAAACTGTATGGTACCTCTCCTTGTTGAAAAATAGAGTGATCTAGAGTGGTGGTGATGTGTTGTTCTGCATGACACTTAAAAACAAGAAGGGGTAGAAATTGCATGTATGTGTATCTGGAAGGATGAATGGATTGTGACAATGGATGAAAGTGTGTTTGGGTGGATGGATGAGTGGGTCTTTGGCTGGAATTATAAATGCACTGATGGAAGGATGGACTTTTGGGTAGTTGGATTAATGTTTGGAGCAATAGGTGGCTGGGTGGATGGGTTGATGGACTGAAGCACAAATGGACTGGTTAATGGATGGATGATTGGGTGGATAGTTTGTAAACAGATAGATGGATGGGTTATTAATGGATCAATGAGTGGATAGATGGCTGAATGGATAAGTGGATGGATTAATGGATAAGTGATTAGATGTATGAGATGTATGGAGGATGGATGGGTGATTAGATTTGTTGATGAATTAATGGCTGACTGTATTGGTGGATTTATTAATAGATGAATGGATGTGTTGAACATTGATTTGTTGGATGAATTTGTTATTGGATTAAAGGAATTAATTGATTTATTGATGGTGGATTTGTTGTTGGAATAATGAATGAGTTAGTAGAAGTGATGGTCGATTTATATGTGTTTTGTGTGCATATATGATGTCCATCAGATTGTGTCAAACAAGTCTGGGCACTTCTTAGTTCATGTAATGTGTGTCTTGGACAGAAGAAGTTAGGGTATTAACCATGACTGAGTGAAACAATGTAACAAAAGGTTGCTAATGTTGAATTAAGAATTGACATCACAGCATTCGGGACACTCCCATAAGTGCTCCGTCCCCATCTTCAGCAGCAAGAGAGGAGTCCCAATTCTGATGGCTAAAAGGTTGCCATAGAACATGCTAAGCAAGTGGCTAGGAATACATAATACATTTATATATGGACTTTAGATACTTTACTATGTTCCCATGTGAATATGTTTAATTTTAATCCTTTGTTTTAAACTATATTATATTTTATTTTATGGCTCTACTGGCAAATCCGGACGAAGAATAAACAGCCTTGGACGACTTAGTCAGAGTTCTCTCCCTTGGCCGCACTCCAAACAGTGATCGGAAAACAAACGAAACAAACGACACTTACCTATCATCCTGCGGTTGCGTGTAAGGCTGCGTACGGTTGCGTGAGGCATTGTGAATGGTTGTGTAGTCATCATCATGCGGTTGTTGGATTAGAGTTAGGGGTAGGGGTAGGTTTAGGGTTAGGGTTAGATGTTAAAATTTTGACGTAGGGTTTCGAAATAGTGGCCGACAATCTGATGTTTGTGGGGGTGGCGCCACTGAAATTCTGCTAAATATGACGCCAATAGTGTGCGGCTGGTGCCCAATCGTTGGCGAATGGTGCGTTTCACCAGCATCCAGAGGCCCTTAATTGTTTGTGTGTGTATGTGACTGTGTACGGCGTCGACGAAGTTGGTCTGGTGGACTACTACCTCGTGCAGATAAATGCCATGCCGTAAGTTTGCCACGTTGCTGTAGCCTCGCCAAGCGTCAGTCACGATAGTCGTTCCCGGCAGGACGTGATCTGTTATGATCCTCTCCAATGTCGCCGCATCTCGTTTTCGCACAAGCTCCAAGTAGCAACGGCCAGTCTCACGCTCTACTAGCCCGACGATCCAACGACCGTGACGGATGCGACCGCGCTGATACTTTCGTCGGAAGAAGTCGCTCTCGTCTACTTCGACCACGATAGATCTGCCGGTCTCATCGAGTCCTCCCAGCTCCACGGTGTGTCTCAACATCCAATTATAGCATTCCTGACGGAAATAATTGTTGTAGTTGACAATGGTGTGCCAGTTCGTGAGTCTCTCGAAGACCATGACAGTCGTTGAACTTACGCCGGAGAGCCAGTAGTACATCATCATGAGTATTTTCTCGGTCGACATGTCGCTGTTGGCGAAAAACGACCCAGTGCGAACACTACACCTAGTATTGCAGCGATAACATCGCCAACCGTATCTGTCGCTACAGTCTTGCCGGGGACATAGGAACATTGGCCGCGTGCACGAGGTACACGGTTGCGTGTTCCTTATCAGACTATGCTCAGCTAGCCACCGCAACCACGCATACTTATCTGTCATTATGCCATACAGGTCTGCAGGAGTTACGTCCGTGGCAACTAAGTCGTGCGTCGGAAGAACGATGTTAGTTATGTGAGTGCGTCTAACTGCCATGTTGCTTGTGTCGTTTGTTTCGTTGTGGTTTTCCAGTGTTGCCACTTTTCTTTGACAAAAAATATCCAAAACGGTGTCAACAAATATCTAAAAAGATCTAAATCTGCGTGGAAAAAATCTAGAAAACAAATCCAAATTGAAAAAGTCAAAAATTACATAGCTTTTTTTATGACTTACCCTACATAATCATGTCCTCACCTTCACTGATGTCTGCCTCACAAGAACCACAGGATAAACTTAGCTTGGATAATGAAGTTGAAGCTTCAAATCCAAAATGACTCTGATATGCTTTAGCTGTTCAAATTTCTTTATAAGAGGAACAGTATGCTTATTTCTCTAGTCTCATCAGGCCGAATTTTAATGGCACGATAGCATTTAAGAGGTCAAATTTCATCCTGTTTTTTAGGTTAGATTTGATATAATTCCTAGCATTGAAAACTCTTTCTACGTCAGCATTTGAGTGGGGTAGTATCATGGCAGACATGGCACTTTAAAGAGCTTACAGATTGGACTGTTTGATGAGGCATCTTTAAATTGTCTCACTTCACTCCAAAACGCTTTAGTTTCTGTTTTGTTTGTCCTTTCAGCGAACTTTATTTTGGTTAACTGATATTCTGCTTCCGCAACACTATTATTAGTAGCTCCTAAAAATTTCATAACTTTACAATATTTAGGTATGTCCTTTATTGGCTGAAGTATGTTTCTCACAGAAGAAAGTGAAATATTTTTCAAAACACCTAGATTTTCAGGAAGTCTCTGCTTCAGTTGCTTCAATAATGACATAAGGAAATCTTGACAGCGTTTTCCTAAGTTGTTTTCTTCATTCTCTGTTAACAGTCCTTTTGTTTTTAAATCATCAATTTTTGATTCGATTTAATATCCAAGGTGTGGCTTAGGAGCCAAATAGCTCTCTATAGTGCAAGTGAGCAAATCAGCTTTAGAAGTTGGCAACACCAGTCTTTTACAGAGTGAAAAAGCAAGGTGAGATCATCAAGTAATTTAACTTTATCAACAAGTTTAGATTCGAACAGTTTATTAACTTTTTGCACTTCCATTAGAATAGGTTATAAAAAGAGAATGAATGACACATTTTTTTCATCACTGTACATTCCATATAGTATTTCAGCTGTGTAGCACTTTTCACTTTGTCTTGTTATTTCAAAGTGTGTCTTCAACTTCAGCCATTGCTTCATAATTCTTTCAACAGCTGGTTAAATTGATAACCATCGATTTTTGCAATCAGACAGAATTTTCGGTGGTGTGGAACCATCATTCAAGGCTGTATATAATGTATTGTATTGCTGTTGTCTGACAAATGATTTGGAAAACCAGTAAAGTGTTTCAGCAATAAGGTATTCCAAATTCCTTGGTAAATATTTAGATGAAGCATGTGATAATGCTAGCTGCAATGAATGACGCATACATTTTATAAGTATTAACGATGGGTTAGCTTCCTTCAACTTGGCACAAACCGCAATGTTTATACCAACCATCACTGAGGCATTATCAGTACCAATTACAACCAAATTCTTCAAGCCTAACTGTTTGCTGATTAAAAGGTCCTTCAGTTCCTGAACTCTACTTTCTACACCACACTTTTCAAATTGAACTAGTCCAAGATTTTTTACAAATCGATCAAATGGTCACAGTTTGAAATTGCGCAGTGACAAATTAAAAATATTGCGACTGATACTTCAACTTTTAATGATTCATTTGACAGTATAGTTCTGAAAACAGATGTTAACGGTGTCATATCTTTAAATGAAACTGCAGTTTTATGCCTTTTTAGTCTCTGCATGACTCTTTGAGTTTTGTATTATTTTCGCTTTAATTTCACACTTGCAGTACTTACAACAAGCTTTGGTCATATTCCCAGTTTTTAATTTTGTCATCATGCAACCACTCTTTCAAATTTTTTTGCTCATACTTTACTTTAGGCATGTTGAAAGATTCTTTCAAAGTGAAAGCCACATAAGAAAGTGAGCAATTTTTTTTTAATCACATGAAAAAGAAACGCAAAGTCAGCACAGTGAGGATACGGTTGAAACAAAGTTAGTATGATTTACGCGCGTTTTTATTAATTAGTACCGAGGCTGCCAGATATTTGTGCGTTGACCCCAGTGAGAGTTTAAAGTTCAAGTAATGGTAGTTGTCACAATGTACGTGCCAGACCAAAACAAAAATATTGTAGAAAATATTTTACTCAGTAATTATTAAACTGACAATGAAAGAAAAAAAATCTTTAAAATATCTAACTCCATATGAAAAGATTCTAGAAAAATATTTACGATCTAAACGTCAAAAAACAGTATCTAAATGCAATGAAAAAGATCTAAATTTGGATATAAAAGATCTAAAGTGGCAACAGTGGGTTTTTCCGATCACTGTTTAGAGTGCCGCCACGGGAGAGAACTCTGACTAAGTCGTCCAAGGCTGTTTATTCTTCGTCCGGATTTGCCAGTAGAGCCGACTTTGGATACTTTATTATGTTCCCATGTGAATATGTTTAATTTTAATCCTTTGTTTTAAACTATATTATATTTTATTTTATGGCTCTACTGGCAAATCCGGACGAAAAATAAACAGCCTTGGACGACTTAGTCAGAGTTCTCTCCCTTGGCCGCACTCCAAACAGTGATCGGAAAAGCCACAACGAAACAAACGACACAAGCAACATGGCAGTTAGACGCACTCACATAACTAACATCGTTCTACCAGAACTACCAGAACAGATCTGAGACTGACTCAGCTTCATAAAAAATGGGTACACATTGACAGAAATTGCTGGGAATCGTCTGGAAAGGAAAGGTGACAAGAAAGATAACTGGTCACCTAGCCTTGTATGTTGAATATGTGGAAGACTAAAAGGCAGTAAGTCTGCAGTGAGACTGACTACCTTTTATTTCCTACTCAGCTGCTCCTCATTTTCCCATCTAGCCATAGCATTAGTATTTCTCTATCACTCTAATTTACATATAGTTTTCTCTTCATGCCATAGTATTCTTCTATCACTAAATTTCTCTGTCATTTTCTTTTCATGTAATAGTATTCTCCTGTCACTTTAAATGTATCTATCATTATCTCTTCATGCCATAGTATTCTTCTATCACTCTAATTTATCTATCATTATCTCTTCATGCCATAGTATTCTTCTATCACTAAATTTCTCTGTCATTTTCTTTTCATGTAATAGTATTCTTCTATCACTTTAAATGTATCTATCATTATCTCTTCATGCCATAGTATTCTTCTATCACTCTAATTTATCTATCATTTTCTCTTCATGCCATAGTATTCTTCTGTCACTCTAATGTATCTATCATTATCTCTTCATGCCATAGTATTCTTCTATCACTTTAAATGTATCTATCATTTTCTCTTCATGCCATAGTATTCTTCTATCACTTTAAATGTATCTATCATTTTCTCTTCATGTCATAGTATTCTTCTGTCACATTAAATGTATCTATCATTTTCTCTTCATGCCATAGTATTCTTCTGTCACTTTAAATGTATCTATCATTTTCTCTTCATGCCATAGTATTCTTCTGTCACTTTAAATGTATCTATCATTTTCTCTTCATGCCATAGTATTCTTCTGTCACTTTAAATGTATCTATCATTTTCTCTTCATGCCATAGTATTCTTCTGTCACTTTAAATGTATCTATCATTTTCTCTTCATGCCATAGTATTCTTCTGTCACTCTAATTTATCTATCATTATCTCTTCATGCCATAGTATTCTTCTGTCACTCTAATTTATCTATCATTATCTCTTCATGCCATAGTATTCTTTTGTCACTCTAATTTATCTATCATTTTCTCCTCATGCCATAGTATTCTTCTATTACTCTAATTTATCTATCATTTTCTCCTCATGCCATAGTACTCTTCTATTACTCTATCATTTTTATCCAGTCATTTAACATTTCTCATGGAAATTACATTTTCTTACTCTCTTCTTATCACTGTTAATCTTTCTTGTCTGCCTTATCACTGTTAATCTTTTCTTGTCTGCCTTACCACTGTTAATCTTTCTTGTCTGCTTTATTTACTGATCTTGTTTTATTAATTGGCTTTCTTCTACATGGTAATAATTCACGAATGTATTCACTCCTTCCTTATTATACCTTTCTCTCTTTGCATAAACTCCCGTTCGCATCTGCTACTTATTATTTTTTAGTTTTAAAAATATTCACCTTTAAAACTTACTGACATATTTCTACAAGTGCTTACCTGTTTCTTCAGGCTTTGAAGGCCTAAATGTTTATAGACCTGCATAAACTCTTTTTGTTTGAGAAACCCAGAAGATCCAATACCTAACTGTCGACATACCTCATTCAAAGGCCTATAGCCGGTCTCTGTTTTCCCACTACTACCTGTAACTGCTGACATGTCTAGATAAAATCAAAGATGGGACTGTAATTAGTACAAAACTACAAAAAATTTAATGTGCACATTAACGAGCATATAGTAATAACAACAGTATGTTTTAAGACAATTTAAAGTGTAACGGTTAAGTTAAAAATAAATTCATGACCAACATTATTAACGTTGTCACCAGGGTTTTTACTTTTATTATTGCGGGGGTGGGGGAAAGGGGGGGGGGGGGGGCGTGTGTACACATCACAAAATATCTTGCACAGTTGCCGGTACTCACCACAAAACAATTATTACAGTAGCGCTGAACAAAAATGATCATTTAAAAGGCTCAGGACGTGATAGCGCAGAAAAAAAAGTTCTGGTTGTCACTATCATCAAGTGACTGACTAGATTTCCCAGAGCTTCTGCACCAAGAAGATCCAGTATCCAAACGCCAGAATAGAGCTTTCAGAGCGTCCGCCCCTATAGGTTTATGTGTTTTCGCATAGCCGCCTCAACTGCTGACACACCTGGCTGAAACAGAGCGTTGATTAACACACAGTTAATGAAAAGAGTGCATGGGCATTTACAGCTCGCTCTTCAGGCAGAACAGTTCAAGAAGCCAGCAGTGCCCTCTCCATGACCACCAGCAGCATGACGATGGAGGTGATGGCGGTGACACAAGCTTTCATGTGGCTGGGATCACAGGACTATTCCCGTGTGTGTGCTGAGTGATTCTTTGAGCATGATCCGGCGGGTCGAGGCAGGCTGGTTACGCAGACAGTGGCTTGAGTCATTGCAAAATTATCTTGTGTGTGCAGTAACTTTCATATTCGTCCTAGGTATGCAGGAGTTGTTGGTAATGAGAGAGCTGATAGACTGGCAGGTGCTGCATTAATTGAAGATGGCCGGCCCGTGAATCACGCAGACATTGACATTGCCATTGGAGAGATAGGACGTTCTGAGGATTTTGGAAGCAACGTGTCCACATCACTGCTAAGAATACGCGAACTGGGAGTGAAGATCGGCACAGCCTAGCATGAGAAGCACACAAAGTCCTGTTAACCAACATAAAACTAGTAATATTAACCGCACGACGCTGATGAATATGTCCAGAGGGGAATCTGAGCGCCTATGGATGTGTCCGGAGTGCTGTGAAGATAATCTAACTCATAACACAGTTATAACTAATCCTACATCAGCCACCGAGTGCCTACTGGTCTATAAAAATAGGTCTAGCCCTTTATGCCGAGTACGCCCGAAGGGGTGGAAAAGGGTCATTTTATAAATAATTGTAATGGTAACCTTGACTACATTGTAAGAACATCAATTAATGAGTGTATAATAATAATAAATATTTCGTTGCTTCTTCTTCTCTTCCACCTTGTACCTCATCGAAGTGTCCGGGGGAAGATGTAATGTTCGTTGATGAGCTCTGTCAAGAGCACTATTAGGACCGATGTTCATTTCTGTAAGGCTGTTCTTAATGCCATCTTTTCCGAGGTCTTCCACTCGCTCTATACACGTTGTAACGTTTTAGTGTGGCTCGCTGTGGTGGATAGTACCAGGGCATTCTTGGTAGAATATTTAGTTGCGCATAAATCAAAGAGGAATAATTGCTAGTTTTCAAAATAATTAAAGTATTCATCACCACCATCAAGTGGCTCGCATGTCTACAATTCAATTTTCTAGTCTGATATTTATCCATGTCACAATGCAAGTATGACTGGTCTCTCTCCCCCCTCCGCCCCCCGGCTCGCTCCCCCCTCTCTCTATATATATATATATCTGTAGTGTGTCTGTATGCGTGTGTATGCATGCCAAAGAGATTCAATCCCAGTGAACTAACTAGTCACGGTGACTGCTGTGCACGGAGTGTACGTAGGACGGATGAAGATTGGAAGCCACTCTGTGGAAGTCTAGTCAGTGGACATACGTGTACACAGCTCGGCCATAAAACTTCCTAATACAACATTAAACGACAAGTAACATCATGGGTTTTTCTCTTTAAAAAACAACAACCCCACAAGGTGTCTAAAAAGGTACCGGAACTCATTACAAAAGTGTCTGTTACTGTAGCGATGGAAAAATATGTCTTAAAAACAGATGTCAGTACTGTACATGATCGTCTACAGTATACTGGAGACGGTCATGTACTGTGTACTGCTGGGAACCGCCGAGGGATAGTGGCTACACGTTTGCTTGTGGAACTGAAAGTCGTGGGTTTAAAGCAGACTTGTTTTTGACTTCCTAATTTTTAAACGACCTTGGCTTCCAGGTGGACAAGCCACGAATGGATACCGGGTAGATGTCATGGAAAGTAAAAATGTCCGGCATGATGTTGAACACATCGCAAACCGTGTGCTAATTTGTCTATAAAATACAGGTGTAGATATTTATACCCAGTACGCTTCTAGGCGTGGAATAGGGAACTCTACTTTTACTTTTTTTTTTTTTAAACTCAACACAAAGTACCAGAAAAAAAATTACTGTTACTCACCGAAAGTGTTTGACTTTTCCTCCACTAGGACATCACGCTGAGCGATTAACACTAGGTGACACAAAACGCCAAATTCGGATGAGGATCACTCGCGGAGAGGTCCCAGAAACCCCGTTTAACCGTTAGGTTATATTAGGGCCCCCGGCAATAACCTGGGTGGAGCTTTACAATAATGAAAAACTGCGTCTCGTAACGGGACGACGGGGTATAATTAAGTGCAAAAGTGTTTATTCCATTGGCGCCTAATGATGTCTAAAACAGGTGCCACTACTGCGCACCGCCAGAAAATAAAATGCCTGGGTGCTAACTACAAATAAGTAACCTTTCAAATACAAACCTGTAATAAATATGTATTTATTTATGTGATGTTTTCTTCATATCCAGCAATCAGATTCGTCATTTCTTATCTGGTTGCACATCTCGCACGATACAACGCTGATCTCTCTCATGTCAACAGTACACATCTGTCACAAATCGCCACGAACTTATATTTCGACTACTGCACAGGTCGATACACCCTTTTGGTACGATCGAATATCTCTCTCACTTTCCTCCCTCTTTGTCTGTCTGTCTGTCCGTCCGTCCCTCCGCCCGTCTACCTACCTACATACCTACCAATTCATCCATCCACCTACTTACCTACCTACCTATCCATCCATCCATCCATCCCTCCCTCCCTTCATCTGTCTGTCTGGCTGGCTGTCTCTGACAGAGACACAAATCGGAGGTACGTCTACAATAATACATTCTTTCTTTTGTCCATACTATGCTTTGTGCAGCTAGGCACACAGATAAGTGGTATCCAGCTAGGGTGCCCTCGGTTGCCCGGTATGCTGTGATGTGGTGGTCTCAAGGTATCAGTGACTCCTTGAATTCATTTTCTTCTTGATCGTCCCCTACCCCTTGTCGTTTCTACTTTCATGTTGTACGCTTCCGTTGCTGGCATCAACAGATTCATTCTCGTTAGCCCCCTGTGGTGGTTCCGGGAGCTTCCTTTGAAGTCGAAGTGCATCTGCCTGAGAGGCAAGTTACCAACAGTTTGCACACAAATGTGTCAGATCTGTCAAACGGATGCACACGCAACAGGTTCTGGAACAGGACCGCAGTCCAGAAGTGGACGAACAACCAGAACTTTCCAGAGTTTACAGCTGGTGAACACAAAGTAGTAGTAGTAGTAGTAGTAGTAGTAGTAGTAGTAGTAGTAGTAGTAGTAGTAGTAGTAGTAGTAGTAGTAGTAGTAGTAGTAGTAGTAGTAGTAGTAGTAGTAGTAGTAGTAGTAGTAGTAGTAGTAGTAGTAGTAGTAGTAGTAGTAGTAGTAGTAGTAGTAGTAGTAGTAGTAGTAGTAGTAGTAGTAGTAGCAGTAGCAGTAGCAGTAGCAGTAGCAGTAGCAGTAGCAGTAGCAGTAGCAGTAGCAGTAGCAGTAGCAGTAGCAGTAGCAGTAGCAGTAGCAGTAGCAGTAGCAGTAGCAGTAGCAGTAGCAGTAGCAGTAGCAGTAGCAGTAGCAGTAGCAGTAGCAGTAGCAGTAGCAGTAGCAGTAGCAGTAGCAGTAGCAGTAGCAGTAGCAGTAGCAGTAGCAGTAGCAGTAGCAGTAGCAGTAGCAGTAGCAGTAGCAGTAGCAGTAGCAGTAGCAGTAGCAGTAGCAGTAGCAGTAGCAGTAGCAGTAGCAGTAGCAGTAGCAGTAGCAGTAGCAGTAGCAGTAGCAGTAGCAGTAGCAGTAGCAGTAGCAGTAGCAGTAGCAGTAGCAGTAGCAGTAGCAGTAGCAGTAGCAGTAGCAGTAGCAGTAGCAGTAGCAGTAGCAGTAGCAGTAGCAGTAGCAGTAGCAGTAGCAGTAGCAGTAGCAGTAGCAGTAGCAGTAGCAGTAGCAGTAGCAGTAGCAGTAGCAGTAGCAGTAGCAGTAGCAGTAGCAGTAGCAGTAGCAGTAGCAGTAGCAGTAGCAGTAGCAGTAGCAGTAGCAGTAGCAGTAGCAGTAGCAGTAGCAGTAGCAGTAGCAGTAGCAGTAGCAGTAGCAGTAGCAGTAGCAGTAGCAGTAGCAGTAGCAGTAGCAGTAGCAGTAGCAGTAGCAGTAGCAGTAGCAGTAGCAGTAGCAGTAGCAGTAGCAGTAGCAGTAGCAGTAGCAGTAGCAGTAGCAGTAGCAGTAGCAGTAGCAGTAGCAGTAGCAGTAGCAGTAGCAGTAGCAGTAGCAGTAGCAGTAGCAGTAGCAGTAGCAGTAGCAGTAGCAGTAGCAGTAGCAGTAGCAGTAGCAGTAGCAGTAGCAGCAGCAGCAGCAGCAGCAGCAGCAGCAGCAGCAGCAGCAGCAGCAGCAGCAGCAGCAGCAGCAGCAGCAGCAGCAGCAGCAGCAGCAGCAGCAGCAGCAGCAGCAGCAGCAGCAGCAGCAGCAGTAGCAGCAGCAGCAGCAGCAGCAGCAGCAGCAGCAGCAGCAGCAGCAGCAGCAGCAGCAGCAGCAGCAGCAGCAGCAGCAGCAGCAGCAGCAGCAGCAGCAGCAGCAGCAGCAGCAGCAGCAGCAGCAGCAGCAGCAGCAGCAGCAGCAGCAGCA